TCCCTCTTGGAAGCTGCTCATCCCATGGAGAAATGAGAGGTTTTCTTTTCCTTTTTTTGAAAGAGTCTCTCTGTGTCATCCAGGCTGGAGTGCAGTGGCATGCTGTCAGCTCTCTGCAGCCTCAACCTCCTGGACTCAAGCAGTCCTCCCACCTGAGCCTCCCGAGGAGCTAGAGCCACAGGTACTTGCTACCGTGCCCAGCTAATTTTAAAATTGTTTTGTTTTGTTTTGTTTTAGAAATGAGAGTCTCACTTTGTTGTCCATGCTGGTCTCTAACTGCTGGGGTCAAGTGATTCTTCCACCTCAGCCTCCCAAAATGTTGGGATTGTAGGTGTGAGACACTGGGCTTGTAGAGGGTCTAGCCCTACAGGGTTCTGTGAGCCGCTCCTGGCTGATGCAGAGACAAGAAATTGTAGAAATAAATGACACAAGACCTAGACAGAGAAAAGAAAGTTTGGACCCAGGGGTCCAATTGCCCCGAATGCCAGAATGCTCTCACTTTTATTGAGTTGTATATCTGGGGGCAGAGTAGGTAGGGCGTGGCCTTGGTGGTCGGAGTCTGGGGACAGGGTAGATAGGGCGTGGCAGTGATAGGGTCAAGTACATCACGGGTCATTCAGGTAGGGGCTCAGGAATTTGGCACCCAAAGTGAGTTAAGGAACATAATGCATCAGCATCTTTTCCATACTTATCAAGAAAAAACTAAAACATTTAAGATTTATATTACTATTACTGATTATCTTTTTTTTTTTTTGAGACGGAGTTTTGCTCTTTTTACCCAGGCTGGAGTGCAATGGCGTGATCTCAGCTCACCACAACCTCCGCCTCCTGGGTTCAGGCAATTCTCCTGCCTCAGCCTCCCGAGTAGCTGGGATTACAGGCATGCACCACCCAATTAGCATGCAGCTAATTTTTTGTATTTTTAGTAGAGACGGGGTTTCACCATGTTGACCAGGATGGTCTCGATCTCTTGACCTCGTGATCCACCTGCCTCAGCCTCCCAAAGTGCTGGGATTACAGGAGTGAGCCACTGTGCCCAGCCCTTACTGATTATCTTTTCTAAGAAAAAAGGAACCAGGTGCAGAAGTAGAACATAAAGAGTGGACGTGGAATGTGACCACTGAAGCACAGCTTCACATAGAGACAGTTAACCCCTGGATGCCTGTGGGCCTCCTGACAGCGTCAGGCTTACCACAAGAGCTTGGAGAAGCGGAGTTTTCTCCTAACTTCCCCAGGAAGGAGATGTCTCGGGCATTTTGTCTCCTTCCCTAGCTGGCTAAACAGCGGGGCTGGCACTACCGCACGGCCGAGGCGCCGTCCAGCAGCCCTTATGGGAGCGTGACAGAGGGCTTAGGGCATCTTGCCTTAATGTCATTCATTTCACAATGTCACCCTAGGTTCATACTTAGACCTGATAGGCATTAGTAAAGGAATTAAGATCACCTATGAATAACTCAGATCACTTATGAATAACTAATAACTACTACGGTTATATTTCTAGTTACTTTCTTCTTCATTATTTATATGGAAATAGGCTGAGGCCTTTTGCTCCTACTTCGGTGCTTATGGGATCTCCCTGATACAGGCCTGGCCTAGTTTGTTTTTGAGCTTTCTTTTTTTTTTTTTTGAGATGGAGTCTTGCTCTGTCGCCCAGGCTGGAGTGCAATGGCACCATCTCAGCTCACTGAAACCTCTGCCTCCCAGGTTCAAGCGATTCTCCTGCCTCAGCCTCCCGAGTGGCTGGGATTACAGGCGCTCGCCACCACACCTGCTATTTGTATTATTTTTAGTAGAGATGGGGTCTTGCCATGTTGGCCAGGCTGGTCTTGAACTCCTGACTTCAAGTGATCCACCCAGGAAAGATGTGGACTCCTGTGAGGAAGGAGAAGAAGGGGTGTAGTAGTGAGGCAGTGAGAGGGTTATGCCTGCTCTGAAGACCAGCCATTCACCCCGGACCCCTGACTGGGGTGAGGGGAGTTTCTGGGGAGGCCTTAGAAAGCTTCCAATCACAGCAGAAGGCAAAGGAGGACCTGGCATGTCACATGTGAGAAGGAGCAAGAGAGAGGAGGAGGTGACAGGCTCTTTTATACAACTAGCTCTCTCATGAACTACCAGAGTAAGAACTCATTCATTATCATGGAGACAGCGCCAGGCCATCTAAGGGAGCCACACCTGTGACCCAACGCCTCCCACTAGGCCCGCCTCCCACATGCGAGGTCACGTTTCAACATGAGATTCGCAAGAGCACACATCCAAACTGTCACTCAAAAACAGCAGGTGATGTTCTCTCCAGTGAAGAACTCATCTTGGCTTCGGAAGTGTCCCTGACTTGGACTTTTTTTTCTTTTGAGCTGGAGTCTCACTCTGTTGCCCAGGCTGGAGTGCAGTGGCACTCCTGAGTTCAAGCGATTCTCCTGCCTCAGCCTCCCAAGTAGCTGAGATTACAGGCATGCACCACCACGTCCAGCTAACTCTTTGTATTTTTAGTAGTGACGGGGTTTCACTATGTTGGCCAGGCTGGTCTTGAACTCCTGACCTCAGGTGATTTGCCCACCTCAGCCTCCCAAAGTGCTGGAATTACAGGCGTGAGCCACTGTGCCGAGCCCTGACTTGGACTTTTAATAATGCAAATGTAAAAAGCAAAGTCCTCGTCTCCCCATTGGGCACGTGTTTGGCATGTGCTTGTGATGGTGGTGAGTTGCTTCAGCTGTGGAGACAGATGCAGATACTGGGGGGTACAACTTGTCAGTATTTTCCACATTATTTTGTGACCCACAAGAAAAAGTATATTCCACACCTGTATGCCATATGTGGACACTCATACTTGAAACAAAAGCTTCATGTAATACCCGCACTTTCTTAAATACACTAATATTTTCTATTTCTTTTGCGATCATTGCTCGCTACCACATTGAACTGCTGGCTCAAGCGATCCTCTTGCCTCAGCCTCCCAAGCAGCTAGGACTGCAGGTGTGTGCCGCCACACCCGGTCAATTGTTTTAAAGAGGTAAGGTCTCTATCACCCAGGCTGGAGTGCAGTGGTGCAATAGTGGCTCGCTGCAGCCTCAACCTACCTGGGCTCAAGTGATCCTCCTGCCTCAGCCTCCCAAGCACCCAGAACCACAGGTGCGCACTACCACCTCAAGCTAATTTTTTTTTATATTTTGGTCTCCAACTCCTGGGCTCAAGCAATCCTCCTGCCTCGGCCTCCCAAGGTGCTGGGATTAAAGGCATGAGCCACTGTGGCTGACCCGGCTAATTATGTATTTATGTCGAGGCAAGGTTCTGCTGCATTGCCCAGGCTGGTCTTGAACTCCTGGGCTCAAGCAATTCTCCTGATTCTCCTGCTTCAGCCTCCCAAAGTGCTGGGATTAGAGGCATGAGCGCCTGTGCCCAATCTATTTTTTTTATGCTGGTTGTCACCCAGTAATTTGATGTAATGACTCACTAGTGGGTCTGGAAATGGTCTGTGAGGCTATGCAGTAAGGGACCCGGTAAGGATGGGCCTGGTCCTGTCCCCAAGAGCCCTGTCCCTTCTAGATGCCACTCGTGGGTTTTTTGTTTGTTTGTTTTGTTTTTTGAGACGGAGTCTCAGTCTGTTGCCCAGGCTGGAGTGCAGTGGCGTGATCTCGGCTCCCTGTAACCTCTACCTCCTGGGTTCAAGTGATTCTCCTGCCTCAGCCTCCTGAGTAGCTGGGATTACAGGCATGCACCACCACAGCTGGCTAATTTTTGTATTTTTAATAGAGACGGGGTTTCACCATCTTGGCCAAGCTGGTCTCAAACTCCTGACCTTGTGATCCGCCCGCCTTGGCCTGCTCAGGTAGCCCTGTGCCGGGGTTGGCAGGGGCTCTTCTCCAGGGCAGCAGCAGTTCCGGCGACTTCTGCCAGCCTCTGAAAGTCCACCTTCCCTCTGACCTCAGCCCGGAGTGGCACCATCAGGAGACGGGCATGACGTCACTTGGTGGCGGCTGCTTTGGTGGGCATTGGAGCACTGTGTTAGCTGGGGGCTAAAGAGGAGGCTGGCAGGACAGCCAGGGTGACTTCAGCTCCTAAAATTCTCAGTAATGACTGGGGCAGGGTGGCAGCTCAAAATGTCTTCCCTGTTTAAAAAAAAAATCAGGGTTGTTTGTCCGTTCTTTCAATAATATGTCTAGAACTATTATGAGGCAGGCTCAGGGCTATACAGAGGTGTCCAAAGGCTAGGCCCCTGCTCCCCGGGAGCTTCCAGAGACACGGTCACTAAGCTAACAAGATCCTGTTGTCTAGTGACAGGTGCTCTGAGGGGAAGGTGGGGAATGGGGTAGAAAGTGGCTGGGCTGGGGCTGGGGGGCTACTTTTGGTGGGTGATGATAAGAACAGGCCTTTCTGAAGAAACAGCGGTTGGGTTGCGTGCTTCCCCAAAGGACAGTCTGAGCAAAATGCAGGTTCCCAGCCCCATCCGTGAAGATGTTAGGGACGGGGCCTAGAACTTGCCTTTTTCTTCCAAATGATTCCCAGGCACGTGGAAACTGGAGACTCCCCTTGGGGCTTTTGCTTTAGAATTGGACGTGGTGAATTTCAGTGTAGCTTCCAATGCCCGGGGTCTGTGGCTGGGGGAAGGGAGCCTCTGTGTGTGAAGGCCAGGAGTAGGGAGAGGAGCAGGGCTGCCTGTGGTCAGATTGCAGGATGCAGAAGATGGACGTGCACAGCTCCTCCCACGAGGCTTCACCTAGGGCCCTGCTTCTGTGGCTGCCAGGAATTCTCAACCTGCCCCCAGGAGGCCCTCCCTCACCCCCTCCCACTCCTGTTTCACTCCACATCTTGAGAGGGTTGTAGTCATAGCTGCATGGATTAGGTCTATATCTTGCACATGGGAACCATTCCAGACAACTGGTACATGCACACGCTCCAGGCATATTTTTAGGATCCTAGGGTGGGCTGCCTGTGTCTCCCCACCCCACCCCACCCCATCCACCCCTAGTGCGAGACAGAGTTCTTTATGCTGTGGGCACTCGGAACCTGCCTGACCACTGACTCCCCAGGAGCGTGGGCTTTTAAACCTGTGTCTGCTGTGACTAATAGAAATGCACACATCACAGCAGACACAGGCAGCCCGGGGTGAGACACATCTGGTCTTTTCCAGCCTGTGTGGGGGCCCCAGCTCCTCAACGGAGCAAGAAAGCATCTCCCTGGCAGGAGATCTGGAGCCAGGTGAATCAAGAAACCTGCGTGTCCACTTCCTGGGCGTCAGGCCTTTCCTTCCCTGGCCTCAGCTCCCCATCTATTCAATAGGAAGAACCCTTTGGGATTTCTTTGGAAGGAAAGGGGGATTTTATTTTTTTTAATAGCAGTGCTATCAGATCTTTGGTCGAGACCCCAAGAGAAGGGGAGATTTTGCTTTAAAAGGAGCCCTTCCCAGCTGGGCACAGTGGCTCACACCTGTGATCCCAGCACTTTGGGTGGCCGAGGCGGGCGGATCACTTGAGGTCAGGAGTTTGAGACCAGCCTGACCAACATGGTGAAACTCCATCTCTAGTAAAAATACAAAACTAGCTGGGCGTGGTGGCGCATGCCTGTAATCCCAGCTACTTGGGAGGCTGAGGCAGGAGAATCGCTTGAACCCCGCAGGCGGAGGTTGTAGTGAGCCGAGATCGGGCCACTGCACTCCAGCCTGGGTGACAAGAGCAAAACTCCGTCTTAAAAGAAAAAAAACATTAAAAAGAGGAGCCCCTCCCCCTTTCACTTCCTCTCCTCCGCGATCGCAGCTCTCAGCTGGGCCACAGCGTAGGCGGTCGTGCGTATCCGGGGCTGCGCTCCCAGGCTGCAGGGGTGTCAGTGTGTCAGGCGAGGAGGAGGAGGAGAAGGTGGCGGCAAGGTCGCGGTCCGAGGCTCCGGCGCTCCCTGCAGCCTAACTCCCAGCCCAGGCTTTCTCCGCTGCGCGGATAAAAGGCCGGCCTGCCCCGCCCCCGCGCCCCGGAGCTGCAGCTGGACTGGCGCAGACAGGCTGGGCGCCGAGCGCAGGCACCCAGGGCTCCCCATGAGCGCACGTGGGCCCGACTGAGATCGCGCCATGGGGCAGGCGGGCTGCGGGGGTCTCTGCCTGTCGCTGTTTGACTACAAGACCGAGAAGTATGTCATCGCCAAGAACAAGAAGGTGGGGCTGCTGTACCGGCTGCTGCAGGTTTCCATCCTGGCGTACCTGGTCGTGTGAGTTCTCCGCGGACTTGTGGGGGGAGGCGGGGAAGGGGCAGGGCGGGTACCAGCCCCCGTGTTCTTCCCCAGGGTCCTGGAAGTCGCCGGCGTGCACGCGGTTTTCCCTGGCGCCAGGATCTGTGAGCCTGTTGGGGCTGAGGTCCTCTTTGGGTGCTTGGGTGCAGGAGTCGGGGTTGGAGAGGGGTCCAACGCTCCCTGCACTGGCTCTGGGGTGATGAGATGTGGGCAGGGGCCTCTGGGCTCCTTGATTTACCAGGCTTTCCATGCGGCAGCTTCCCCTAGAGTGTTGGGGGCAGGGGTGCCGGGGGCTGGGTGGCAGCTGTTGCCCCAGGAGCCTCCCTGGGCCTCGGCCTGGCAGCTGACCCAGGCGCCGGCAGGTTATTTATAAACACAGGGTGTCACTGCCTACTCACGGCTGGAGCAACCCATCAGCCCGCGTGGCCCTCAGCTCCCTTCCCGTCAAGGTGCCCCATCCGCTGCCAGCCTCTCTGCTGTCCAGCTGGGGGTCCTGCCCAGAGGCCTCTATCTCTGCACCCAGCTCGGGAGGCTCCTTCCCCCGTCCTCATATCACTTGGCAGTTGCTGGCTCCGAAAGCCAAGGGGGCAACTCGTGGAGGCTGCTCTGCCAGGCGCCTTCGGGCCCTACCCTCAGGGGTGGGGGGTGAGCAGGTGGAGGGAAGAAGTGGGCTGGGCACTGGGAACATGCCCTGTTCATTCAGCAAATGCTGTGGAGTGCTCCTGCTTCCTCCTGGGAGGGCAGCCCTGACGCCTGGCTCTGCCCATGGGCCCAGCAGTCCGCATTGTCTGAGCTGCTTCCCCAGGCCGCAGGCCACCTCCCACCCAAGCGGCTTCATAGGCTCTGTGCTCTTCCTCAGCCAGGCCTGGCTTTCCTCCTCCACTGGCTTAGCACCCACTCATCCCCCAGATCTGGGCCCTCCAGTAACTCCCTCTCCCTTCTTCCCTGGCGTTCCCACAGGGTAATTATGAGGCTTATTTGGGGGATCATTTGCCTAACGTCGTTGTTGGTCGGGGATGTCATGAGGGTGAGCCCAGCATCTCTTACCTGCTTCCAGAATAGATGTGAAATGAACAAGGGAATATATGAATGAAGCTGCTTTGGCTGAAGCAATAGAAATTTAATTCTCACAGTCCTGGATACGGAAGTCTGAGATGAGGGTGGCAGCATGGTCCGGTTCTCACAGGGGCTCTCTCCTTGGCCTGCAGACGGCCACCCTCACGCTGTGTCCTCATATGGCAGGGAAGCAGGAATTCTTCAACCAAGTGCAAGTATTAAAATTAGGAGATCAGTGGTGGCCAGACACAGTGGCTCACACTTGTAATCCCAGCACTTTGGGAGGCTGAGGCAGGTGGATCACCTGAGGTCAGGAGTTCGAGACCAGCCCGGCCAACATGGTGAAACCCCCATCTCTTCTTCAAAAATACAAAAATTAGCCAGGCGTGGTGGTACACACCTGTAACCCCAGCTACTCAGGATGCTGAGGCAGGAGAATCACTTGAACCTGGGAGATGGAGGTTGCAGTGAGCCAAGATCACACCACTGTACTCCAGCGTGGGTAATAAGGGTGAGACTCCACTTATAAAATAAAAGAAAGCAAGAAAGAAAAAAAGAAAGAGAGAGAGAGAAAGAAAGGAAGGAAAAGAAAATTAGGAATTTGGCTGGGCGTGGTGGCTCACGCTTGTAATCCCAGCACTTTGGGAGGCCGAGCGGGCGCATCATGAGGTCAGGAGATCGAGACCATCCTGGCTAACATGGTGAAACCCTGCCTCTACTAAAAATACAAAAAAGTAGCCAGGCATAGTGGTGTGTGCCTGTAGTCCCAGCTACTTGGGAGGCTGAGGCAGGAGAGCTGCTTGAACTCAGGAGGTAGAGGTTGTGGTGAGCCAAGATCGCGCCATAGCACTCCAGCCTGGGTGACACAGCAAGACTGTCTCAGTAAAAAAAAAAAAGAAAAAAATATGAACTTAACATTAGTCAATATTATCTAACCTTAGACAGTTTGTGACTGGTTCCCATAACTACCTTTATAGCAAAGGAAGGTCTGAAAGCACGCATGCACTTAGTGTCGTCTCCTGAGTCTTTGTTAGTTGGGACTGTTTCTGAGTCTGTCTTTGTGTTTCAGGATATTGACATTTTTGGAAGAGTACAGGATTTTTTACATCATTTTTTTCTTTTTTAAGACGGAGTCTCACTTTGTCGCCCAGGCTGGAATGCAGTGGTGCGATCTCAGCTCACTGCAACACCGCCCCGCAGGTTCAAGCAATTCTCCTGCCTCAGCCTCCCAGATAGTTGGGATTGCAGGTGCCTGCCACCACGCCTGGCTAATTTTTTCTGTGTGTGTAATTTTAGTGGAGATGGGGTTTCACCATGTTGGCCAGGCTGATCTCAAATTCCTGACCTCAGGTGATCTGCCTGCCTCGTCCTCCCAAAGTGCTGGAATTACAGGCATGAGCCACAGTGCCTGGCCTAAATAATTTTTTTGATTGAAGTAAAATTCACCATTGTAACCATTTACAATGATGCAGTTCAGTGCTTTTTAGTACATTAACAAGGTTGTAACCATCACCACTGTCTAATTCCAGAACTTTTCCATCACCCCCAAACGAATCCTGTGTGTCTTACCGTCACAGGGTTTCCTGTATTCCCTGGCAATCAGCAATCTAGTTTCTGTTTCTGTGGATTTGCCTGTTCTGGATGTTTCCTATAAATGAAATTATATAGTATGCGGCTTTTTCTTCGGGCTTCTTTTACTTAGTGTAACATTTTCTGGGCTCACCCATTTGTGGCATCTGTCAGACCTCCATTCTTTTTTGTGGATAAATACTGTCCCATTCCGTGTGGCTGCCACATTTTGGTCATGCATTCATCAGTTGTTGGAAATTTGGGAGGTTTTCACACCGCTGGGCGCGGTGGCTCACGCCTGTAATCCCAGCACTTTGGGAGACCACAGTGGGTGGATCTCTTGAGGTCAGGAGTTCAAGACTAGCCTGGCCAACGTGGTGAAACCCCGTCTCTACTAAAAATTCAAAAATTAGCTAAGTGTGGTGACAGGTGCCTGTAACCTCAGCTACTCGCACTGCTGCACTCCAGCCTGAGTGACAGAGACTTTCTCTAAAAAAAAATAATAATAATGCTGCTAAGAACATTCATGTACAAGTTTTTTGTGTCGATATATTTTCAATTTTTTAATTTTAATTTTTATTTTTTTTGAGATGGAGTTTCACCCTTGTTACCCAGGCTGGAGTGCAATGGCATGATCTCAGCTCACTGCAACCTCTGCCTCTGGAGTTCAAGCAATTCTCCTGCCTCGGCCTCTGGAGTAACTGGGATTACAGGCATGTGCCTGCAATCACCTGGCTAATTTTTGCATTTTTTAAGTAGAGGTGGGGTTTCACCATGTTGGTCAGGCTGGTCTGGAACTCTTGACCTCAGGTGATCCACCTGCCTCAGCCTCCCAAAGTGCTGGGATTACAGGTGTGAGCCCCCGCGCCAGGCCCATGTTTTCAGTCTCTTGGGAATTTTCTGGCTCACGTGGTAACTCTATCCTTAACTTTTTGGGGAACTGCTAAATTGTTGTCTACCGTAGCTGCCTCATTTTACAACCCTGTCAGTGATGTAATGTACAGGGGTTTTAATTTCTTCACAACCTCTTCAACACCTGTTTTCTGCAGAGTTTTTAAAAGATTATAGCCACCATGGTGGGAGTGAAGTGGTGTTTTATTGTGGTTTTGATTTGCATTTCCCTAACGACCAATGGTGTTAAGCATCTTTTTATAGGGTTAATTAGACATTTGTGGGGTTTTTTAAACTTTTTTAATTAAAAAAAATTTTTTTTTCTTTTTCTTTTTTTTTTGAGATGGAGTTTCGCTCTCGTTACCCAGGCTGGAGTGCAATGGCACGATCCCGGCTCACCGCAACCTCCGCCTTCTGGGTTCAGGCAATTCTCCTGCCTCAGCCTCCTGAGTAGCTGGGATTACAGGCATGCACCACCATGCCCAGCCAATTTTTTGTATTTCTAGTAGAGACGGGGTTTCACCATGTTGACCAGGATGGTCTCGATCTCTTGACCTCGTGATCCACCCGCCTCGGCCTCCTAAAGTGCTGGGAAAATTTTTATTTATTTATTTTTATTAAACATTTGTATGTGTGTGTGTTGCTTTTTTTTTTTTTTTTTTTTTGAGACAGAGTTTCACTCTTTTTGCCCAGGCTGGAGTGAAATGGTGTCATCTCAGCTCACTGCAACTTCTGCCCTCCCGGATTCAAGTGATTCTCCTGCCTCAGCCTCTCGAGTAGCTTGGATTACAGGCACCCAGCACCTCGCCTGGCTAATTTTTGTGTTTTTACTACAGGTGGGCTTTCTCCATGTTGTTCAGGCTGATTTCAAACTCCTGACCTCAGGTGATCCGCCCACCTTGGTCTCCCAAAGTGTTGGGATTACAGGCGTGAGCCACAACGCCCAGCCTGTGTATGTTTTTGTTTTGTTTTTTTTTTAGAAATGTCTATTAAAGTCCTTTGCTCGTTTTAAAATTGGATTATTTGCCTTTTTATTGCTAAATTCTGAGCATTCTCTATATATTCCGGATACTAAACCCTCACCAGAGGCATAATTGCAGGTGTGTCCTCCCATTCTGTGCGTTCCTTTCACTCTCCTGAGAGTGTCCTTTGATGCATGAAAGCTTTACACTTACCTATTTTTTCTTTTGTTGCTTGTGTTTTTGGTATGAAAAAGCATGGGATCTGCACTCTCATTTTATCATTTTGTTGTTGTTCTCAGTCTCACTCTGTCGCCAGGCTGGAGTGCAGTGGTGCGATCTCGGCTCACCGTGACCTCCGCCTCCCAGGTCCAAGCGATTCTCCTACCTCAGCCTCCCGAGTAGCTGGGATTACAGGCGCCCACCACCACGCCCTGCTAATTTTTGTAATTTTAGTAGAGATGGGGCCTCACTATGTTGCCCAGGCTTGTCTCAAATGCCTGGGCTCGGATGGCAGGCGAGAGCCACCATCACACCTGGCCTGTGCTCTGATTTTGTAGAAAGCCCCTTGGTTAGGGTTCGTTTGAGGTCTCCTCGTGATTAGTTTCAGGTTAGGCACCATTTCAACTAATCACAGCACAACCCCAGAGGGATGTATGGGAAATTGGCTTGCCTGGGGTCACCAAACCAGTATGTGGCTGAGCTGGTTTCAGCGCAGGTTTGTCCACTGGGGGCTTTTGAGTGGACAGTGGTCTTTGCCTCTTTAGAGGCCCCGCGTCTGGGGTTGCTTGTCACCTCTGCTGTTTGCGGGACTGCGTTTCAGGCAGCAGTGGGGGCTGTGGGCCCTCCCCAGGAGCCATAGCCTGCCCCCCCTCACCTGGGCCCAGCTGTGACTCCCACCCCACCCCAGGCCTGGGGAAGCTCCTGAGAAGGCAGCGGTGTGGCTGATGTCCCCAACTGTCCCCCTTCCCACAGATGGGTATTCCTGATAAAGAAGGGTTACCAAGACGTGGACACCTCCCTGCAGAGCGCCGTCATCACCAAAGTCAAGGGTGTGGCCTTCACCAACACCTCGGATCTCGGGGAGCGGCTCTGGGACGTCGCTGACTACGTCATCCCACCCCAGGTCTGAGTCCCCTCTGAGCACTGCTGCCAGGGCTGGCAGGGCTGGCCCGGTTTGTGGGTCACACAGGAAGCTTCTCGGATGCCCAGGGACCCCGATCCATGATCCATGGACTCCTTTGGCCCAACAGCTGCCAGGATCTGCAGACAGCGACCCTGTCCAGACTCTGCCTCCCAGGCCAAACTCCTGCCCTCTTTTCTGTGCCACGTGCCACTGCTCTATTTTATCTGAGTTTTTTGAGGACAAATGGGACCCAGAGAACTTTCAGGTCATTGTGAGTCAGTGGCCTGGCACAGGGAACCCCGCTTCTATGCCGCTGCCTCTGGAAAGAGCTCCCTAGCATGTTCAGTTGGCCTGGGCCAGGACCGGGGCAGCCTCATCACTGCCCCTACTTCTCCCAGACCTGGGCCCAGATCTTGGGGGCAGTTGGGGTCTGTGAGCCTGGAAGAGATCTGTCAGAGGACCTCTGCTTGGGGATGGTGGGGTCCATGAGCAGATGGGCAGAGTCTACCAATTTTTTTTTGAGAAAGACTCTCGCTCTCTTGCCCAGGCTGGAGTGCAGTGGTATAATCTCGGCTCACTGCAAGCTCTGCCTCCCAGGCTCAAGCAATTCTCCTGCCTCAGCCTCCCAAGTAGCTAGGACTACAGGCGCCTGCCACCATGCCTGGCTAATATTTTGTGTTTTTAGTAGAGACGGGGTTTCACTGTGTTAGCCAGGAGGGTCTTAATCTCCTGACCTTGTGATCCACCCACCTCAGCCTCCCAAAGTGATGGGATTAGAGACATGAGCCGCTGCGCCTGGTGGAGTCCATCAGTTCTGTGGCCCCATTATCTCCAATACCCAGGTCCATCCTCTTCCAAGTAGCTGGGAAGTGGGGGGTTCTTAAGAGGACAGGAGGAGGTTCCTTAGTGTCTCTCCGGTTCCTTAGGGAGAGAACGTCTTTTTCGTGGTCACCAACCTGATCGTGACCCCCAACCAGCGGCAGAACGTCTGTGCTGAGGTTTGATTTGGCGAGGGGCCCTGGCGTGGGGGTGGGAAAGCCGCTGGCAGTGGTTGGGTCTACTCTTCCGAAGCAGAGGTGTCTGCACTCCAAGGGTCCAGGAGGCTGTGTACGCCCGCACATGGTTCTGGCATTGTATGGGGGAGAAACAGGTTCTCGAAGAGTGTGTGGCCCAGGCCTCGGAAGAACCCCTGTTCTAACTCCTGGAGTGGGACCTGGCTCTAAGATGGGGAAACCCGCCCCCCCACCAGTCCAGGTGCCCCTTCTCTCCTGGCAGAATGAAGACATTCCTGATGGCGCATGCTCAGAGGACAGTGACTGCCACTCAGGAGAGGCGGTTACAGCTGGAAATGGTGAGGGCCTGGAGTGGCTGAGGGCAGAAGTAGGACCCGGAGTGGGAGGCTCCTGGCGCTGATCCTGTCCCACCCTGCAGGAGTGAAGACCGGCCGCTGCCTGTGGAGAGAGAACTTGACCAGGGGCACCTGTGAAATCTTTGCCTGGTGCCCACTGGAGGTGCGCTCCAGGCCGGTGTGAGTGGCTGCAGCCCTGGGACCCTGGGGAGTTTCCTAGCCCTATGCAGTGGGTCCCAACCTGAGGGTGGAGTCCTGCCCACCCTGGGAGCCATGTGCTGAGGGAGAAGTCAGGCTGTCCCAGCGAGGTCCGAAGACCTCCTCAGCAAAGCAAATTAACTGTCTTTGGGCAGAGGCTCCAGGGGACCCATGGCCCAGGCCTGGGGGAGAGGCGTGGGGCGGGGCCTCCTGGACAGGCTGTTCTGGGTTGGTTTTCAGGGAGCCGTTCCTGAAGGATACCGAAGACTTCACCATTTTCATAAAGAACTACATTCGTTTCCCCAAATTCAACTTCTCCAAGTATGTGAGCATGGCTATGAGGGGCCCGGGACTGGGCCTCCTTGGGTCTGTGCGTGGTGGGGTGTGCCTGGGGGGGTGGGTGTATGTGCACATGTGTGATATCTGCGTGTGAATGAATGGTGGGGGACACTGGGGCGCCCCTTCCCCCTGCTGTAAAGTAGGGTGCCGCTGGGGGAGCTGTCAGGACCCAGGTCGGGCAAGGGACCTTGTGGCTCCTGGCCAGGCCCGGGAACATGGAGTCCTACCTCATTTCTCCGCTGCGCATGGCCTGTACCCAGGAGCAATGTGATGGATGCCAAGGACAGAGCTTTCCTGAAATCCTGCCGCTTTGGCCCCAAGAACCACTACTGCCCCATCTTCCGCCTGGGCTCTGTGATCCGCTGGGCGGGGAGTGACTTCCAGGATATAGCCCTGGAGGTGGGTGGTATGCACGAGATGAGCCCTCCCGGAGGGCCTGGGGGCTTTGGGCCGGGCTCTGCATTGAGGATCGGGTGCCCATGAGGACTCCTGGGGTGAGGGTGGCCCTGCAAAGTCACCCACTCCCAGGGACACACTGTTTTCAGAATGAGCTGTGACACAGCCAGGTTTCTGCAGTGCTCAGGCCACGGGCACTCAGTGAGGGCCAGACTCAGCACCTGCTGTGCAGTTCTGTGTCCTCAGGGCCTCTGCTGAAGGGGAGCCACACGGAGCCCATTGGCGAATTCTGGCTGGAGTATGAGGTGCCTGTACAGAGGAGAGGCTCACCCTGGGTGGCTCCCTTCCCCCTGAAGAATGAAGGAGGCAGCCCCGGGGCTGGGTGATGTGGTGGTCTCAGCACCCCCATGGGTGGGACTAAGCCTCCCGGAGAGGCATCTGGAGGGGCTGACCTCATGCCTGAGCACCTCCTCTTGTCCAGCGCTGGTGAAGGGCCAGCCTGTAACACCCTCCATCTCCAGAAAGCTCCTCGCGCTGACCCTTGTCTCTCTTTTATCAAGGGTGGTGTGATAGGAATTAATATTGAATGGAACTGTGATCTTGATAAAGCTGCCTCTGAGTGCCACCCTCACTATTCTTTTAGCCGTCTGGACAATAAGCTTTCAAAATCTGTCTCCTCTGGGTACAACTTCAGGTAACAGCGGCCTGTGCCCCCTTCTGACCTGACCGTGATCAGTGGCACTCCTCTGGGTGCCAGCATGATGAGACCCCTTCCTGGGGGTGGGCGTCAGAGCAGGAAGTGCAGGGACAGATGGCCAAGGAGAGGTGGGGACCACAGCAGAGTGGCCAGCGACCGAAGCTGGGGGTGCCTTGGGGGAGAGGAGTGTGTGTTCTCACCTGTTCTCTCTGTAATGCTGAGGCCTGCTGCCTCTGCTGCGTTCTTTCCACCAGCGCTTTGTCGTGCCGGGGGTTGGTTGCTCAGAATGGGGCAGGAAAGCCTTGCTCCTCGGGGAATGTCTGGCGGGGATTTCAGAGCTAGATGAGTCTTGGTTTTGGCTCAGTGAGAGGGTCTGCACACCTCTCCTGGGGTTGCTGAGAGTCAGAGTCCCAGGAGTCCTCCGAAGTCCCCAGAGCAGATGCATCTGTGCTGCCCAAAGAGGGAAGGCCAGGCAGGCTGAGGCTTCCCCCGGCCTGTCTCCCTCAGATTTGCCAAATATTACCGAGATGCATCCGGGGTGGAGTTCCGCACCCTGATCAAAGCCTACGGGATTCGCTTTGACGTGATGGTGAATGGCAAGGTGTGTGGGTTCTCCTGTTCTGAGGCTGGGCAGGGTGGGGTGGGGGACATTGGGAGGGGCCCTGGGGACCCCGCTGTCCACCCAGCCTCATTCACTCACCTGTCTCTATCTTCCAGGCAGGGAAGTTCAGCATCATCCCCACCGTCATCAACCTGGGCTCTGGGGTGGCGCTCATGGGTGCTGTGAGTACCTCCCCCCCCCCCCGCTTCCCACCCTCTGCCCTGGTGGCAGCATGGCAGGGAGAGGGAGGCGCAGCTCAGGACCCAGTGCCCCCAGAAAGAACCAGAGCTGGCAAGAACAGAGTGGGCATGAGAAAGACGGCTTTCTGGGGGTACACGCCCTGCCAGTGGTCCCCAGGTAGCAGCCACAGCCTGAGCCACTTTCCATAGCAGGGGGGCATCTGCCTGTAGCTCTGCAGCTGTGGGTGGGTTTGGGTCAGTCCCCAGCCAAGGCATGGCTGGGATGTCCCCAGGTCCCCACATGAGTCCCCGAGCTTCTAAAGTCTCCATCTCTACTTCTGCTAAAAGAGGGCAGGATTAAAAAAAAAAAGAGGGCATGATTGGGCTACAGGTTCTGACCTGGGTGCTACTGACTTTTGGGGCTAGATAATTCCTTGTTGTGGACTTAAGCACCTCCTCTGAAGTGCCTGGAAACCTTCCACAGTGCACAGGGGGCGGTCCTGGGTGTCGCAGGATGTTCTGTTTATTTTGTTTTCTATTTCATATTTCACACTTTTCCAATCTAATACTATGTATTTTCCCAGCCCCTGAGGATGTTGATTTCGGAGACAGAGTCTTGTGTGTTACGCAGGCTGGAGTGCGGTGATGTGAGCATGGCTCGCTGCAGGCTTGAACTGCTGAGCTAAGCATCCTCCCGTGTCAGCCGCCCCAGTAGCCAAGACTGCACATGCACAACCACGCGTGGCTAATTTTTAAATTTTTTGTATAGTTGGGGGTCTCACTATGTTGGCCAGGCTGGTCTTGAACTCCTGACCTCAGATGATCTGCCTGCCTCGCCCTCCCAAAATGTTGGGATTCCAGGCAGGAGCCACCTTACCCAGCCCACTGTAATAAGAGCATTCCCAGTTAGTTTCTACCCACGAGATGTCAGGGGCACTCTCCCCTGCAGTTGTGATGACCAGAAATACCTGATGGGAAGCAAAATCCCAGCTGGCTGAGAACCTGCCGACTCAAAGGCTGAGAGGCAGGGAAGACGGCCCTGTGAGAGGTGGCCTTCAGCGGGGCCCAGTGGGGCCCAGCGGGGCTCGCAGGAGAGGAGGTGCAGTGGCTGAGGGCAGGGAGGGGTGTCCTGAGTCTGCTCTGCCCCTTGGTCCTGCCAGAGGTTTTGAAAGCCAGGGCAGTTATCAGTGGGTGGCTGATACCCATCCCGGCAGGTCCCTTTCCCAGGTTTCCAGCAACCTCTTCCCTCACTTCACTGCCTGTGGACGCAAAAGAGCACCACTGGCAGAGTCCACCGGGACCCAGGGTGACTTTTGTTGAGGCGGGAAAAATTGTGTCCTGTACCAGGAGTCAAACAGGCCATCTCCTGGGAGGGGGTCGAGGAAAGTAACCCCACATGGATCCCTAACTGCAGGCAGCACCGCGAGGGGCCTGGATCTTTGTGTCTGTTACTTTCTTAGAGAGGGCCCAGCTTCAGCCACCTCACTCGCTCTTCCTTTTCTTTTTTTCTTTACTTTCTCCTTCCTTTTTTCCTTCTCTCCTTCCTTCCTTCCCTGCCTCTTGCCTTCCTCCTCTTCCCTCCCTCCCTCCTTCCTTCCTGCCCCCCCCCCCACTTTCTTTCTTTCTGGAGACAGAGTCTCGCTCTGTCCCCCGGGCTAGAGTGCAGTCATGTGATCTCAGCTCACTGCAACCTCCACCTCCCAGGTTCAAACGATTCTCCTGCCTCAGCCTCTCGGGTAGCTGGGATTACAGGCATCCGCCACCACGCCTGGCTAATTTTTGTATTTTTAGTAGAGACGGGGTTTCACCATGTTGGCCAGGCTGGTCTTGAACTCCTGATCTCAGGTGATCTGCCCACCTTGGCCTCCCAAAGTGCTGGGATGACAGGCGTGAGCCTCTGCGCCTGGCTGGGTCATCATTTTCTTGTGATATGAGTAAAATGTGAGCACAGGACCTCTGGGGACAGACCCATGAACTGGAGGTGATAGCGCAGGAAGAGCTGGTGGTTAGGCTTAGGCGTGGGGGGTGGTCTCTGGGGAGCAGGGAATTGGTAAACAACACTTCTGGGATCTGGGGGATGTTGTGCAGCACCCAGGGTCGGGGGCAGGCTTCCTTGTCGGCCCATCCTCCAGCCCTCCCCACCTCCACCCAGCTCCATCCTTCAAGCCCCAACCCCACCCTGTCTGTGGGTAGAGTCGCCCTTTGCTGGAGAAGACGGGCAGCTGCCTGGCCTGCTCTGGTCCCACCTTTTCAGGAGGGAGGGGCCAAGCGGGGTCGTTTACCGATCATTTTTCTTTTTGTTTGTTTGGTTTTGTTTTGTTTTTTTGAGACGGAGTCTTGCTCTGTCACCCAGGCTGGAGTGCAGTGGCATAATCTCAGCCCACTGCAACCTCCGCCTCCCGAGTTCAAGCAATTCTCCTACCTCAGCCTCCCGAGTAGCTGGGATTACAGGCACCTGCCACTATGCCTGGCTAATTTTTATATTTTTATATAAACATGTTGGCCAGGCTGGTTTTGAACTCCTGGCCTCAGGTGATCCGCCCACCTCGGCCTCCCAAAGTGCTGGGATTCCAGGCGTGAGCCACCCTGCCCGGTACCCATCATCTTTCTTTGAGTGGCACCATAGTGTCTTTGTTGATTAGAACCCTTCCAACCCATCTCACACTGACTGCCACAGGGATCTTTCTAAATGCCAACATTCTGGCATGGTGCCTCTGCCACGCCTAAAGGATGAGGACCGATGCTCCGAAAACATCCTAAGGAGCCTGCAGGCCGGTCACCATCCACCTCCTCCCACTCTTCCCCCACTGGCCTGCTTCCCGGGCACAGGCTGTTTCTCCCTCGTGATGCCCTTCTACATCTTTGTCTTGTATAAACTCCTATTCAGCCCTTAAGGATGAAGAGGGACCCTCCCCAGGCTGAGTCAAGTCCTGTCTGGGTCATAATTGACATACCTGTCTCCTGCACCAGAGGGAGAATCCCCAGAAGGTCTCTCTAGTCCAGATCCCCCCTGTACCCCAATGTAGTCCCTGGCACGTGTGGGTGCCCAGCAGACGTGCTGAAGGAGCGATTGGGTAGGGTCTGGGTGGTGTGGGGTCAGGAGTGCCTGGCCTGAGAGATCCAGGAGCTCCAGTCCAGCTTGGGCTCCAGCATGGACCCACTTTGTGGTCTCGGACAAGGACGCCCCTTCCTGAGCCCAGTTTCCTCATCTGTTAAGTGGGAACAGTGGTGCCTCCCTTAAGAGCTATTACAGGATCAAAGGGGATGAAGGGGATGAAGCTGCCAAATGGCCAGTGCTCCCGGGAGCCTGGGATTCTGAATCCAGGCCCTCAACTCTTTTGCAGGGGGCTTTCTTCTGTGACCTGGTACTCATCTATCTCATCAAAAAGAGAGAGTTTTACCGCGACAAGAAGTACGAGGAAGTGAGGTCAGTTCTGCTGGGGGCAGCCATGTGGAGCGCCCCGCTGGCGTCCAGCCTTTACAGATATGATGTGGGCGGTGGGGGTGGGTGGCAGGGGCTGGAGGGTGGGGGAGGGTGAGGAGCGTTCAGAGTCCGTGCTCTGCAGAACTGGACTGGGCCTCGGCAGCCCAGCCGTGGAAGGAGAGGGTGCTGTGGCAGCGCAGCAGGAGGCGGAGTTCAGCCTCCGTCTGATGTTGGACCTGTCTCATCTCTGGGGGATGAGAGAGGTGGTTTACGAACGGTGTGTCTGCAGCACTTCTGTTTGGGGGTTTTGGACTTAGTGGTCCTGGTGGTCTGGGTTGAGGGACGCTGAGTGGTAAAGGAAAGGAAAAACAGGCATTTTCTTCTGCAGCAGTTTCCTGGGCAATGGGTTTGGCAGGGTGTGTTTGTTGAGTGCAGAGCACAGCATGGGTGGGGAACCCCGATGATGGGGTGGGAGGGGAGGGAAGAGGTTATGGCCTTTGGGGAAGGCTTTCTGGAGGCACGGGGATCAGAATGGGAATTGGGACACACACCTTAGTACTCGCTCGGTGCCCCCACAGCCTGGGACAGTGGGCGTAGGGGCCGCCTGTGTCATTCGCCGTGATGGAACTCAAGCTGTGGCCTGAACCCCAGCCCTGGGTTGCAGGGTGTGCCCTGACCCTGTCTGCAGGCTGAGCCGCACCCACAGTCCTCAGTGTGCTGCTGGAGGACGCAGGGGGCCTGCAGGGCAGGGATTCTCCCAGGCCCCCGTGTCGGAGGTACCACGCAGGGCCATCCCAGTTAACAGATTGTGTCTCGTCCAGGGGCCTAGAAGACAGTTCCCAGGAGGCCGAGGACGAGGCATCGGGGCTGGGGCTATCTGAGCAGCTCACATCTGGGCCGGGGCTGCTGGGGATGCCGGAGCAGCAGGGGCCGCAGGAGCCACTCGAGGCAGAGCGGAGCAGCGGTCAGAAGGGGAATGGCTCGGTGTGCCCGCAGATCCTGCAGTCCAGTAGGTGAGGTGCTGCTGGGCAGGGAGCCCGAGAACTGGTCCCCTTAGCTGCCGAGTCCCTGGATGGCCAGGGATGCGTGCCGTGCTGTGCCCGTGCTCAGACGATAACAGTGCCCTGTTAGCTGGCACCCGCTCTCTGTACTCTCGGTATATGTTAACTCTTTAAGCTACCTGAATGAGGTGGACATCAATCTTCCCCATTTTATGAGTGAGGAAACTGAGGCACAGAAAGGCTCAGTAATTTGCTCAAGTCACACAGCTGGTGAAAGCAGAGCTGATGTGAATCCCGCAGTGACTGTAGGATGTGGGTCTCCTGAGTCTCTGCCTCCGCCAGATATCTCTGCACTGCGGTCAGATGACCAACCCCCTTCCGTCCCTCCTCTGTGTACGATTCTGGGGCTGCCCCAGCCTCCTCAAGAGGGTGCTAGCCGTGCTGCCAGGGGGTCCTCAGGCCGCGCTCCCTGTTGGTGCTGGCTTCTCTGCAGATGCGGCTCAGCCTGCATGGGAAGGGTGCCTGGCTGAGTCAGGGCCTGTCAGAGGCCTGCTCCTCATCTGCTTCGTGGTGTGCCTGTGCAGTGAGCAGCAGGTGCCTGGCCCTCTCTGTGCCTTGTTTTCCATTTTTTCCCCTCCCAGTGGGGGCTGGACACAGACTGGGCTTCTGTGACTCTCTTGTAAACCACACTCCTGGATGGCCTTTGCCCTGGCCCCAGCTTTCGTTCCTTGCTGGTTCAGGGATTGGCAGCGTCCAGCTAGGAGCTGAGTCCAGGCAGGGGAGGAGCGAGAAACAGATGGGGATGGTGAGAGAGGGAGGCAGGGGCTGCAGCGGTGGGGAAGGAGGCTGGAGGCTGGGCGTCTGGATGGGGCAGGCCCAGAACCCGGCAACCATCCCGTGCTCCCTGAGCTCTCCCTTCCTCAGTGCTCACCTGAGCTCCTACCGAGAGCAAGCAGGAAGCCCGGCCACCTGGCTTGTCTTGGCTGAGCCTTGCTGCGGCTGTGGGCGGCTCCGGACTCACGGGCCCACGCTCCAGCTGCCACGGCAATTCCCGTTGCTCCTTGCCCGGGCAACTCCAGCGGCTTCTGCCCGAGCATCTCCACATGCTCGGCTTCCGCAGGAGCCCTGGCACACTGCGCTCTCTCTGAATGCTCCGTTTGCGGTGCTGCTGAGAGCTCTGCTTCGTCTGCTGAGGCCAGCCCACCCTCCGGCTCCAACAGTCCTCTGCCCTGTGTGCCCCTCCCGCCCACACACAGGTCTGGCCCCCTGCAGAAGGCACAGGCGGATCAGGAGCAGCGGCAGACCCCACAGATGGTGGAGACGTAGCCAGGGCTGTCAGCTACCATCAGTGTTGCCGGGGACGTTGGGGCCAGAACCAACCGCAGCTCTGAACTGGCAACAGGAGTCTGTGCCTGCATGAGACAGGGGCTTCCAGGCCCTCTCTCCTGCACTCTGGGATCTTGCTGCAAGCTTTCATTGTGTGAGGAGGGGAGCCTCCCTATGGCCAGAGGGGCTCAGAGCTGGAAGGAGACCCTGGAGCAGGTGTCCAGGAAAAGGGGCAGGCCAGGGCCTCAGTGGAACTAGTGCTTTAATCTTCTCTGAACAACCTGGCTGCACCTTCGCTCATTCACAAGTGCAGTAAACACGTATCCATGCATGCTGTGTGCTGGGCCCGATCCAAGAGGTGCTTAAACGAGATGCTGACCTGCCATCAGAGAGAGGGCCTGTGTCTATTTCCTCCAAAGTCAACAGAGGCGTCACAGCCAGGCCTGGCCACTCCTGCTGGCCTTTAGCGTCTAGCGGAGTTTCAGAAATCCCTTCTGAAATCCCTTCGGAGAATGATGGTTGCCCAGAGAGAGCTCTTGGACAGCACCCAGCGGGACATTTGGCCTTGCCCAAGGATAAAATTTAAAGGTGGCCATGGAGGCAAGCGGGAAAGGACTGGACCAGTCGGGAGGCAGGGGGCAGCTGGCTCTTAGGAAGAGAAGCCAGCTCCAGGGGAGTCTAGGTAAGATGGGGAAGGGGAGGCAGGGAGGCTTCTGCTCAGTCGGACTCCCCCAGCCTCGGGAAGCTGGGGGAATACGGACTTGAACAGATGGGAGGTGCATTTGCATTGGCACTGTCGGGCTTCCCTCTCATCAGAGGTGGGACCTGAAGTGCTAACAAGATCAAGGATGGGCTGAGTTAGGGAGGCCCTTGCTTCCCTCTTCCATCCCCACCTGTGTCCCGGCCACACCTACCTGCTGCACCCTCAGCTGCAGTCTCCCTCCATCGCTGTACAGCCTTGCTTTTTTTTTTCTTTTTGAGACGGAGTCTTGCTCTGTCACTCAGGCTGCAGTGCAATGGTGCCATTTCAACTCACCGCAACCTCCGCCTCCTGGGTTCAGTCTATTCTCCTGCCTCAGCCTCCGAGTAGCTGGGACTACAGGCATGTAGTACCACGCCTGGCTAATTTTTGTACTTTTAGTAGAGACAGGGTTTTGCCATGTTGGCCAGGCTGGTGTCGAACTCCTAACCTCAGGCGATCTGCCCGCCTTGGATTACAGGTGTGAGCCACCGTGCCCGGCTGAGCCTTGCTATTTAAAGTGGGGTCCAGGGACTAGAGCCTGCTGGAAATGCAGGTCCCAGGCCCCCTCCCTTCTCCTCCTAAATCAGAACCTGTGGTTCAACAGGATTCTGACGTGATTTGTGTGCACAGTGACGTTTGGGAAGCCTTGGTTCTGAGGGGAAAAAGCCCAGCTTTGGTGGACAGAGCCAATTTCGAGGTCAAATTTAGATGCATGCTATCAAGAGATCAAGAGGCTTTCTCCCCACCCTGAACCTAGCAGTATGCTCAGCTGATTTAGGTTAAAATATTTTGACTAGGTAATACTTATATGATTCAAAGTTTAAAAGGTGCAAAAGAATAGTCAGCAAAAAGCAACCCTCCCCCTCCCCGTGCCCCAGAGGCAGCCAGTGTTAACTAATGCAAGAGTCCCCCTGACTTTGCTGAGAACTTGCCTGGTTCCTTACACATTCACTCTGCACCAGTTCTGCACCAGTGAGGCTGGTGACCAGACAGCTCTCTGCAATTATAAAACTTCTCCTGATGCTGGCACGTAAGACTGAGTCTCCTCTGTCAAAAACAGACATGGTCGGGCGCATTGGCTCATGCCTGTAATCCCAGCACTTTGGGAGGCTGAGATGGGCGGATCACCCCAGGTCAGTTGTTCAAGACCAACTCGTCCAATAGGGTGAAACCCTGTCTTTACTAAAAATACAAAAACCGGGTGTGGTGGTGGACACCTGCAATCCCAACTACTCAGGAGGCTAAGGCAAGAGGATCGCTTGAACCCAGAGGGTGAAGGTTGCAATGAGCCGAGATCGCGCCATTGCACTCCAGCCTGAGAGAAAAGAGTGAGACTCTGGCTCAACAAACAAACAAAGGGACATAAAGTACATTTCCGTCCTGGGCTTGGGAGCTACTGTAGCTCTTCTCCTACCCCACTGTATCTGAGTTGTCTCCCTGTAAACCTGAGGTGAGAAGCTTGAAGCTCATCCCTCGCCACTGCCCAAGCCACCTGGCAGAAAAGTCCTCCAGGGCTGCCCCGACTCCATCAGTCCCAGCACTGTTTGGGCAGCTCCCTGGAAGCATCCTCTTTGGAGGGGTTCTCTCTGCACACAGGGAGGTGGGGTGAGAACATCCTTCCGCTGAGGCTTTGCAGAGAAGGGACCTGGCAGGTGTCTTCGAGACTTTTACGGGGGCCCAGGGGCATGGTCTCCAGAACAGCAACCTTCCTGGATGGAGCAAGCAACTTCCCCACTTTGGGTTGTCTGGGAAGGGAGCCTGCCACAAGCCCAGGCTGCTCTCTGATTAGAAAGTGAAGATCCAGGCTGGGTTCGGTGGCTGATGCCTGTAATCCCCGTACTTTGGTAGGATGAGGCGGGCAGATCACCTGAGGTCAGGAGTTGCTGACCAGCCTGGTCAACATGGCGAAAACCGGTCTCTACTAAAAATAAAAACAATTAGCTGGGTGTGGTGGTGTGCACCTGTAATCCCAGCTACTCGGGAGGCTGAGGCAAGAGAATCACTTGAACCTGGGAGGCGGAGGCTGCAGTGAGCCGAGATTGTACCACTGCACTCCGGCCTGGCAACAGAAACTCCGTGTCAAAAAAGAAAGTGAAGATCCAGGTGATCCACTTAGGTGTGTGACTTCCTCACTGAAGCAAACAAAGCCTTGTATTTTATAACTTGGTTAGTTTTAGGTTTGGGAGGAAGCAAAAAGGCAGGGGTCAGGGCTGCTAGTTTGTAACCAGATTTCAAAATGGCTGGCAGAAGCTACAGAACCTGAGGAAAGTTATACTATTTGTTTCAAATTGCAGCAAAAATGTCTTCCTACAGTTAGTAGTTCCTACAGCCAGGAAGTACTTATGGAGCGCCTGGGATGTGTCAGGTGCCAGACCTGACGACGCTGCTGAGGCAGGGCTGAGCATCACCAACACAATCCCTGCCCTCAAGGGTTTCCAGTCTAACGGCGAGTAGACCCTTAATCCAGTGATCATGCCTGTCATCCCGCAGGAAATGGGGTGTTGCAGAGTTCAATGAGTAGCCAGAGGTTTCCCCAAGGAGGTGACCTATGAGTTGAAATCTGAAAGGGTATAGCAGCCTAACTAGGTGACAGGGAAAGCATTCCAGGTAAGGGACACACAGGTGTGAAGAGGTGCTCTGACATGGGTAGGTGCAACTGAGAACCTGGGCGAGGGCCACAGACAGGAGGCAGGCTTGGTGAGGCTTTTGTTTAATCTTACAGTTGACTGTCGTTAACTGTAAGGGTTGTCCCTTTAGACTTCACTTCCTTAGAGGACTGACTCAGGCTCATTGTTTCCCCCAGCCAGCCACGAGTTCCAGTGGTCTCTTTACTGTCCATTGGGGCCCCATGCTCAGAAGAGCCAGGGATCCCATGACAGCTTCTGGACTGCCACTCTTCCAGTTTCCTTGTTTTTTGCACAGCTCCCGGCTCCCATCTTTTTTCTGCATAATCTTGGTGCAAGAGTGGGAGGCTCATTCATTTGATGGAAACTGGCTTTTAAATGGGGAGAAGTGAAGCAGGAACTCGAGCTCCTTTTCAACTTGGGCACTGGTAGCCTCATCGGGAAGATGAGTGTGCCAGCCTCTCAAGAGCTGCTCTCTGTTCTGATATTCCAGGAGCACGTGAAATGCCTGTGCTTATGGTCAGGCCTATCCTAAATCCAGCCATCTAACACTGAGTTACCCATGCCTTTGGGAATGCTGTGAGCTGCCCAACAGGAAATTTGTACGTCGGGTGCTATCAATGTCACACCACAGGGACCAGCCATGAAAGAGCAAAGTGACCTCCACGTCCGATGCTGGGGCCACCAGGACTGACCCATCATGGCTGTCTTTCTGCGCCCTCCCCCCGCCCCCCCACTCCACCACCTTCAGTTCTTCCATTCTCCGTGGCTGGCTTCCTGCACTGGGGAATGGGCTGTAAGTGGAGAACATTGTTCTTGTTTCCTTGAGCACCTCAGAATGGCATCTTGCCTGTCTGGAAAAGGGCTCCATTTGGCTCCACCCACTCCCCTCCCCAAGCGCTGCCGCTTTCCTTGGAGTGTACCCTGAGGGGATCCAAGAACCTGCTCTCCTGAAGACACTGCCTTCCTGCCCGCTGTCTGCCTTCCATTACACCAGGACACAATTAAATTGGGGAAGACGGCAGACACTTTCTGGGACCCACCCAATATATGTATTCGCTGACGCTCTTCTTTGGCCCTAAAACAATAAATTGTGTCAATTTCAAATGTGTTCTGATTTTCTCCCCTTCATGTCTTCATGTTTACCCCGTATTTTAAAGGAAAATGTAAGAAGGCAAGAGCAAAAGAGGCAGACACAAGAAACAATTAGCAAGTAATGTATAATGTATTATGTTCCTCATTATCTTGCAAAGAAATTCAAATTATGAAAACACTTTAAATGAACAACTTAAATGATAGGTTAGGAAGGCACTGATAAAGCAGGTACTTTGCATTCAGTGAGTGTAATCAACTCTAGAAATCATGTGGAATCAAGCTTTATCCTCTGCTGTAGGAACTTAGCAGATCTCAAAACAGTATAAACGCAGACATTCATTGCAGTGTTTTCATAGTAGTGAACATTTCAAACTTACTGCCCAATAATAGGGAGATGGTTAAGTACATCAGCTCACTCATCCCTCTTCCTTTTCCTCCTCTCCTACCAGGGAGGACTCCCTCTGCTTCTCCTTTACAGCAGGAATGAACCTTCCCTTCCCACTGGGAGGAGGCTGAGAGGATTGACGTGTGCAGAACTGCAGTGGTGGGCAGAGAAGGGCTGACTGGGGTAGGAAGGCAAAGCTATGGACTCAGCTTCTCCTTGGTGTCGTGTGTGTGGCCCTGAAGCCGACACAGAATTTAACAAGTCTGGGTCCCAGAGCCACTTCCATGACTGGCCATGGGCCACCCTGTGAAAAGGGGACTTGGATTCAAGCTCTCAGATCCCCTTTTAATTTAAAACAGATTCTTTTTTTAAAAAGTCCAAATGTGATTACATCACTTCAGACTAAAAACTTCCAAAGGCTTCCCCCGTTTGCTCTGAGATCGAGGCCAGAGCAAATGGGAAGTCACTGCAGCCTCAGTCTCCTAGGCTCAAGTGATCTTGATCCTCCCATCCCAGCCTCCTGAGTAGCTGGGACTACAGGCTCATGCCCCATCCCCAGGACTGCCCTCCATGATCTGGTCTGGGTCTACTCTGTGGCCTCTTCTCACACTCTCTAAATATGGGCATGTTCCCTCTTGCCCAATGGGTTGCAAACATGCACTCTCCTGAAGGTAACGCCTTCCCCACACTTGGCTGTTACTCACCTTTTGGGTCTCGGATGTAATGTTATTCCCTCAAAGAAGCCTTCCTTGACCTCCATCCCCTAAGTCGGGCTAGGTGTGCTATGTCTTTTTCATAGCACTTACTATAATTTAAGTATTTGTGAAATTAGGTAATGCTGGTCTCCCCAGTTAATGTTAAATCCAATGAGCAACATCTTGTTCACTGCTGTCATTTCTTTTAAGACAGGGTCCTGCTGTTGCCCAGGCTGAAGTGTAGTGGCACAGTTGTGGCTCACTGCGGCCTCTACCTCCCGGGCCCAGGTGATCCTGATCCTCTCACCTCCGCCTCCTGAGTAGCTGGGACTACAGGCACATGCCACCACACCTGGCTAATTAAAAAAAAAAAAAAAAGTTTTTTTCATAGAGATGGATGTCTATGTTGCCCAGGCACTGGACTCAAGCCATGGCCTCCCAAAGTGCTGGGATTACAGCGTGAGCCACTGCAGTCAGGCAATTACTATAATTCTAATGCATTATTTCTCAACTAAACACATGCACTTTATTCTAAGATAACCCTCCTGACAATAATCATGGATTAACACATATATAGGTGTTTACACCCTAAACCACCCAAAAGTTCAGCTTAAATGCCCAAACAGGTTTTTTGTTGTTTACGATGGAGCCTTGCTCTGTCGCCTAGGCTGGAGTGCAGTGGTATAATCTTGGCTCACTGCAACATCTACCTCCCGCGTTCAAGCGATTCTCCTGCCTTAGCCTCCTGAGTAGCTGAGATTACAGGTGCCCACCATCATCCCCAGCCAATTTTTATGTTTTATTTTAGTAGAGACGGGGTTTCACCACGTTGGCCAGGCTGGTCTCGAAGTCCTGAACTCAGGTGCTGCGCCTGCCTCAGTCTCCCAACATGCTAGGGATTACAGGCGTGATGGACTGTGACCAGCCTAAATGTCCAAACAATGTTTAATCTTCCCTAGTCATATTCTAAAAACAAAAACAGCTTGACTTTATTTTTTCTTATGGAAAAGACTGTCACTAAATAAAATGGAACTGAAATGACACCATTCATACCTGAAGTAGTGGTTAGAGGGAGGGAACACTGGCCTGTGAAAGGCACACCCAGCCAACATAGCAAGAGCAAATTAACAGACCTGCATTTGAATCCTGGCTCTGTCTCTTCCTACCTTCACCTCCTCTGGCAAAAGTTATTTAACCTCTCTGAGCCTCAGGTTCCTCACCAGGGAGTTAACAATAACATCTACCCTGTAAAGTTATTGCTAAAATTAAATGAGAGATTCGGTGTAAAAAATAGAAGTCACAATGCCAGGCATATGGGGAACTTTTTTCTTCTTCTAAGACAGAGTCTCCGTCTATCACCCAGGCTGGAGGGCAGTGGCATGGTCTTGGCTCACTGCAAACTCCACCTCCAGGGTTCAAGCCATCCTCCTGCCTCAGCCTCCCAAGTACGTGGAATTGCAGGCGTGCACCCCCACACCCGGGTAATACTTAATATTTGTATGTTTAGTAGACAGGGTTTCGCCATGTTGGCCAAGCTGGTCTCGAACTCCTGACCTCAAGTTTTCTGCCTGCCCTAGCCTCCCAAAGTACTGGGATTACAGGCGTGAATTACCACGCCCAGCCTAGGGAACTCTTAATACATTAACTGTTACTGCTTCTTAGGATGTTAATAATGAGTTCTTTCCTTATGCAGGCCCTTAGGGCCCATTTCTGGATGGCCTATGTGTAAATGCAAGGACTTAACACAAGGCTATAGCCAGTCCGCGCTCTCCAGGAGTCAAATCTTGGCGCTTTTGCACCAATGGCAGACTATGCGTTAAGGTAAGAAAGAACTCTACAAAGTGTCTCACGCTTCATTTAATCTGAAGAATATTACAGGCTCTTCGTCTTCAGATATAAATTATTTATAACGTTACAGAACAAGCAGCGGATCGAACCATTTAAAAACTAGGTAAGTCTACACGGTGTTAACTTCTCGCCAGAGTCCTCCCAATCTGGTGGTTTAAAAAAGTCCCCCGGGCCCCCATTTCAGTAGACGTGCACCATGCCATAGAGGAACGTCCAGAACAGGACGTAGGTGAACAGGCCTCCGATGAGGCCTCCTGTAAAGAGAGGTCTTCGTGATTTGAAATATTTGTTCCACCTCCTTCCCGCCTTGAGAATGAGGAGCAGGGAGAGCAGGACGGAGGCGAGCAGGTAAAAGATGAAGCCGTAGAGGCCGGTGAGGCCGAGGATGCCGGCCGTGGCCCCCGACAGCGCTGACACCGAGGTCCGGCAGTAATCCAGGACGGCGGCGTTGCCCCGCACGGCCGCCTCGCTGATGAACGGCGGCCCTTCCCGCTTGGCCACCACCGCGGCCATCGCACCCCCCGGGGCTCAGTTTCTCGCTTTCTGGCGGGACAACGCGGAGCTGTAGAGAAAACCAAGTTACAAGTGGCGCCCAGAGCTCGGCGAGTTGGGTTCACGCCGCCGCCGCCCCCTCCCCCGGAGCTTCCAAGAGCTGGCACCAGTCCTGGGCCTCGGACCTTCAAGAGACGCCGAGAAGGTTGAGGGTCCGGGCCGGCCGGGAGGCGGTGGCGCGTCTGCGTTCTCCGGCCACGCTGACCCAGTTACCTGGAATACGGCGCCGGACACCGTACTTAGCGTTTCTTCAGGCGGGTAGGAGAAAAGACTCCCGCGACGCCATCTTGCGCTGAAGGCTGCCGGGAGGTCCCGGACTGCGCACGCGCCCAGATCCCACCCCGCCCTCCACGCCTGCGCCGTGGGCGCCCCGGGCACGCTCCACCCCCTCCCCCCCAGCCCTTTTTTTTTTGCGCACGCGCCGGAACTTCGGAAAGTGGAGTGGCGCTTCGGCCGGTGATTGGCTGGCGGGTGTGCTAACTATTCATGAGGGGGCGGGCCGAGCAGGGCGGCCTTTGTTAAGCAGCGAGGGCGCGGCCGCAGGAACTCTTCTGCCGGCTTCTGCGAGTGGGGCTGGGCGACCAGAGTGGGGTCGAGATGTCCTACATTCCGGGCCAGCCGGTCACCGCCGTGGTGGTGAGTGCGCTTGCGCGGGCTCCTCCTCGTCTTGGCCCGACCCCACCTCCCAGAGCGGGAAACTGACACCCCAAGCAGGTTGACAAAGCATCGAACCCGGGGTTCCTGCGAACCGGCGGCCAGGGCTCGAGTCCTCGCCTTGCCGGAGCCGGACACAGCTGCCCCAGCCACGGAACAGGGACGGCCGGGACCCGAGAGCCTCCCTAGACCCTGGACAGAGCCCAGACCGCGCGCGCGGGGCGGGGAGGGCCACGGAGCCTGGGAAAGCGCCCCCTTCCCGGGCCTTCGTGTCCCCAGCCGGGCAGCTGAGGGGGGGCGGGCGCGGATCCCGACGTCCATGAGTCGCAGCCTCTGGAATGAGGAAATGCTTCTTCCATTGCAGCCTGCGCCGCCGCCCGGAGGGAGATCTGGGGGTGGGGCTGTCCCGAGCCTGCTGTGGCAGCCCCTTCCCCCTTTCTGTCCAGCCTTGCTGCCCGGCCCAGGGTGGGCGCTCACACAGCTGGGATGAGCATTTCCTCTTCTTGGATCTCCAACCCTTAAGGCAAAAAAAGTCCAGGCCTTCTTTCTGGCACTTGAGACCTGAGGAGACCCTCTGGGGACTAGCCTAGGCCCCTGTCCACCCTCTGGCTTGTTTTAAGTGCTGGGTACTATTAGATTAGGCAGAGGGAGGGAGGCTGGGATATTAGACTCAGACGCCTGTGTCAAGGTGGGACGGGGCCTGGAGGCCAACCCTTTGGCAGAGGTGGGGAGACCCAGAAAAAAGTCTGTCTGATGGTGCTCGGCCAGAAAAGACGACGTCAAGAAAGACTCAGGTCTCCTGTCCACCTCCCGAGAGCGTTGAAAGGGAAGAAATGTCCGCCCGGTGGCCCGGTGGGCAATGGGTCAAGTGAAAGTCCCTGCCCTGGAGCCGTGGGGGCCTGCTGTGTACTCTCAGATGGGTGTGTCCAGCAGTCAGGTGGGTGGAGGCAGAGAAGTCACTGATAAAGGTGGCACTCAGGCCCAGGCCCGGAGGAAGCATTGCCAGACCAGCTGACAGCTGTCCTAAGCTTCCCCTTCCCTGCAGCCCCACACCAGCCTGGAGCTTTTTTTTTTTTTTTTTTTAACACGGAGTCTCATTCTGTCAGCCAGGCTGGAGCACAGTGGCATGATCTTGGTTCACTGCAGCCTCAGCCTCCCTAGTAGTTGGGATTACAGGCACGCACCACCATGCCTGGCAAATTTTTGTATTTTTAGTAGAGATGACCCTATGTTGGCCAGGATGGTCTCAAACTCCTGACCTCAAGTGATCTGCCCACCTCGGCCTCCCAAAGTGCTAGGATTACGGGCTTGAGCCACCTCGCCCACCCAGCCTGGCTTTTCTAGGTTCCTAGCTGCCCCAGAGAGAAGGTACCAGGTTTGCTCTTTAGCTAGAAGTGGGGCAGGGGCAGGTGAGGAGCCAAGCAAGCCACCTTCTATGTGACCTCCCGCAGCAAATCAGTGACAGCCCTGTCCCCCAACCCAAAGGCCTGTATCCTTCTGACCACGTGGAGCAGGCCTGGAGAAGCTGTTCTGGGCATGAGGACACAGGCCCAGTGGGCCTCAGGGATTATGCTGCCTGTCCCCCTCCCTCATGCCGTGATTGGTCTCACAGCCTTCCCCAAAACTATAGGCCCATGCCCCCCAATTCTAGTAACACCAGGAACATGCCTGACGTGGTGTGTGTGGCCTGGCCTCTCCCTTGAGTCTTGGATTGGGGGTGGGGTTGGACAGGCTGACTCCCCAGTCTCCACTGTCTCCCATGTAGAATTCTGAGAATATTAAAGCCACTTAGGACTCTTCCCCTGAACTCTGGCTCCATAGATTCATCTGCCTTCTGGACACCTGCCCCACAGCTCCTGGTACTCCAACTCGACCTGCTCCTCCTCCTTCTGGGTCTCCATCTGGGTGATGTGTTCAGCCAGGCGAGGTGTCTGGATGCTCCTTTGGACTCCTCCTCTGCATGAGTGCTCCCCAAGGCTGTAGATCTCCATTTTCGGCATCCTGCTTTTGTGAGATGTCCGTTCCTCTACTGACCACGAGTAGTCATTCTAGCAGCAGAGCTGACCATGCCCTGCCCTACTCAATTCCTGAGAACTCCAGTGGGTTGAGGATCAAGGTCAGGCTACTCCTCACCCCCTCAGGCTACAAAGAACCCCCTCTTTGGGAAAGCTCTTTAGGTCTAGTCTAGTTCATCATCTTTTTTTCTTTTCCCCTTCCTGTTAAAACTCTCAACTTTTGGAGTGATCTGGTTTGGCTCCTAGCATCTGCCAACTGGAGGGTGCTTGCCAAGGGCTTTGAAAGGAATCTGGCACAGTTGGGGACCACAGCCCCAGAGCATGGTGGGAGTGTCCTAGAACACTCTGCACTGCACGAGAGCAGGGCCCAGGGCTTAGGGAGATGCCCCTACTCCCCTTCCAGGACAGGATGTGGCCCCAGCCATATACTTGCAGCCTCATCTCGACGCCTAGTTCTGTGTCCCGTGCTGTACACTCGTCTCACCAACACGAATCCACAGCACCTTGAAGCCTGTGCTCTCATCCCTGTGGCCGGCAAACCCTTTCTCCCCTTTCTATGCAAGTTTGGTCTCTGCTTTTCCAGAGCACCTCCTGGGAGATGGGCCTCCCACCCACAGAAGCCGTAGCACCCTGACCCTTGGGCCAGGAGGGGCTTAGAGCATATGTTGACCAAGACTAGGGCCTGAGACTCACAGGAGAAGTGGTAACAGGCTGCGGCCAGAGGGCTGCATGGGTGGGTCGATGTGGCCAAGGTCCTTGTGCCTCCCAGGCTGCCAAGCAGCTGGATTCCTGCAGGGGCCTGGGCCCCACCCCCTTAGCATGGTGCTGAGGCTGCTGCCCACACAGCAGCCTCATTCTCCACCCACCCACCTCCCTCAACTTGCTTTTTTCTTTGCCAGCAAAGAGTTGAAATTCACAAGCTGCGTCAAGGTGAGAACTTAATCCTGGGCTTCAGCATTGGAGGTGGAATCGACCAGGATCCTTCCCAGAATCCCTTCTCGGAAGACAAGACAGACAAGGTGAGGGCGTGTGGGGTCCTGGGACCGCTCCATGGGGCACTGGAGCCTGAGATGGTGGGTCTCTGCTTCCTGGGTCTGCATGGAAGGAGCAGACCTCATCTGTCAAACCATGTTCTCTTAGAAGGCATTTGGAAGTGACCTGGTGGGAATAAGGATGGGTAGGGGTGAGGATGGGCTGCCCAGACAGAGCCCCGGAGGGGCAGGAGGCGGCCATGAGCAGCACTGGTGCATGGTGGGGCAGCCACATTGCCCTGGCTGTCTCAGAATAGTCCTTACCGATTATGTGTGCTGAGAGAGGCTAGGTGCAGGCACGGAGGGACGGCTGGCAGTGTGCCGTGCTGCCTTCTGCTCTGTGGGTAAGGGGCCAGTCTGGTGACCGCAGGGCTGGCCCCTTACCCATAGAGCAGAAGCCAGCATGGTGACTTGGGCTGCCTTGTTCCAGGGCATTTATGTCACACGGGTGTCCGAAGGAGGCCCTGCTGAAATCGCTGGGCTGCAGATTGGAGACAAGATCATGCAGGTAACAGGTGTCCCAAAGGAGGTCTGGGCCAACAGGTCTGAAGCACGTGGGTGTGGGAAGCTGCCCTGGCCTCCCAGCTGGGAGAGACTCACCGAAGTTGACTGGGAACCCAGGCTGCCGTGCCCCAGAGAACACTGGCTTTCTCTCCTGTGTCTCAGCCCTGGGATGTTAGGCTGGGGGCCTGCTTGAATGACCTGGGCCCCCCAAGCCGTCTGCTTTCAGAGCCCCAAGGGTGGGGACTGAGGGGTGTTCTCTCCCTGGGCCAGGTGAACGGCTGGGACATGACCATGGTCACACATGACCAGGCCCGGAAGCGGCTCACCAAGCGCTCGGAGGAGGTGGTACGCCTGCTGGTGACCCGGCAGTCCCTGCAGAAGGCCGTGCAGCAGTCCATGCTGTCCTAGCAGCCGCCACCGCCTGCGACTCATGCCTGCTGCCTCTTTGAACAGTAACACCACTTCCACACTCGGTCCCCATCCTGGCTTCTGCTGAGCACTGGGCCTCAGCTCAGAAGGGCAACAGCTGATCTCAGAGGCCCATCCCCGGCTTGGGGCCTCTGGGACCAGCTTTCTTCCCTGGACACGCCTGGAGCTGAGTGGTAGCTGGTCTGCTGTGACCACAGGCTCAGGCCTGACCCTGCTGCCCGGCCACAGCAGTGGGTGGGCAAGTGGGAACCACCTCCTCTTGGGAGCTGCCAAAGCTGGGAAATGTGGGGGTGGAGGGCCTTTCCCAGTTTGTCCAGGCTGCAGAGAACGGCTCCATCCCCCACCCTTGTGTGTCCACCTCTACCCCCCAGTGCCTCTGCCCATTAGGGCACTGGCCACACATCCCGCCAGAGGAGCTATGAAGGTTCACCTAACAGGAGCCAGGCAGCTCCTGCTTACTCCCACTCCCCCAGGGGTGCTGGCCTCCCCAGGGTTCACCTTCTTACAAAATTAGCTGACATTTCAGGGCAGCTCAGGATTGCCATTTTCCTCTTTGCCTGTGGGTTTAACTTTTGTATTTTTTTTAATCACAAGTTTGATAGAAAAATATTTTTATCATACTCTTCGACACCCATTCTGCTTTTGAATGTAGCTTACTGATCATGTCTGCACACTTGGAAGTGCGCAGCCTGACTCCGTTACTGTGGAAGTCACTGCCGCCCTCCCCAACATCACATGCTCAATAAACAGTGCTAGAATTCACAGGGTCTTTGCTGGGGAATGGGCTGGGGTACCTGCAGGGTGGGATACTAGGGCCAGAGCTGTGGTTTTAAGGATGGCTCCATCCCCTCATTGTTCTGGGACAAAGGTCACCTCTCCAAGGCCTACCTGCCTGGCAAGCCTGGGCCTGGTGGGGCTGTAACAGCTGCCCTGTGCTTGCCCAGAGCCACATTTGTGGGAGCTGTGGCGGGACCCTGGGGTGCATGTGCTTTCTTGGTGTTACTGTGAAGCTCCTGCTTGCTCCTAACTTCCTCTTTGCAACCTAGAAACCCCTACCTGTAAGATTCTTCAGGACACTCTGGGTGTCACAGTGAGGAACACAACCCCACGTGTTCCTGGGGGCCATCATTGGGCCAGATGGGGGTGAGCCAGAGCCCAGCTGACCTGCCTACCAGCTCTGGGAAGGTGTTAGTACTCCTGCGCTACCGAGCATGGCCAAATCAGATTTTAAAGAAAACTCAATCATCTTTTTTTTCGAGACAGTTTCGCTCTTGTTGCCTAGGCTGGAGTGCAAGTGTGATCTCTGCTCACTGCAACCTCCACCTCCCGAGTTCAAGCAATTCTCCTGCCTCAGCCAACAGAGTAGCTGGATTACAAGCGCCTAGCACCACGCCCGGCTAATTTTTGTATTTTTAGTAGAGATGGGGTTTTGCAGTGTTGGCCAGGCTGGTCTCAAATTCCTGACGTCAGGTGATCTGCCTGCCTTGGCCTCCCGAAGTGCTGGGATTACAAGTGTGAGCCACTGCCCAGCTGGAAAAGTCAATAATTTGAAACCTCTCATTTTAAAAATTAAAGTATGGTACCCAGTAATACATTTGCTGGGTGGCACAAGTGAAACAGGTCTGTGGACCTGGTCTGGCCAAAGTCTGCAGAAACCAGCCCTTAAATTCTTTGAGGCTTGTTAGAACAAGACAGAGGAAGAACGTGCAGTGGGACCCTGACTGCCCTGGCTCCCAGTGCTGGTATGCCCTTCAGGACCTCAGCCACCCCACTCACATCCAGATGAGTGGCATGCCCTGGTAATGGAGAAACATGGTGCCTGGGAGACCTACCTGGCCCTGGGCGGGCAGGCGTCTTACACTACCCAAGAGGGCTCCCTGGTGCAGTGTGGGGTCAGCATGCAGCCACCTCGGGTCAGCGAACTCCACAACCTTATGCGCTTCTTTACGTGAGGGGAGCAAGGGCACTTGGCTCTGAAGGCCAGCACACCTGCCTTCTGTATAGCAAACACTCAGTGTGCAGAAAGGAACAGGAGTCAGGTTTTAATTCAAGATACAGGCCCCTCGTGCTAATCTTGTAGAAAAAACTCAGTGGACTGAAACTCGAGTCATATACAAGGCACGTCCTGGGACCCTCCCCTCCACCACAGAAAGGATGACAGCTTCGGGTGGAGGGAAGGGGGTGTGAGACGAGGGTTGTGCCATACGGATTGTGCAAGGTGGTCTCAAGTACAAATACTTGCCTGAGGCTCCCGAACAGGCTGGAAATTGGTGAGCCTCAGGTAGGGGTCTGGGGAAAGCAAGTAGGGGCCTGGCCTCCCTCCAGGGGAGCTGGTCGCTCTTTGGCAGGCCTAACAGACCTCTAAGGCACAGACCAGTAGCGGGAGAGAGGTGTGTCCTGTACTCCAGATGCTGGGTAAGGAGTAGCTGGGTGTGCTCGGATGGGGCTCATCTGACTGGAAGGTAGAGGTAGGAGAGAGCACAGAAGAGCGTAAGCCACTTCAAATGTCTCTCCAAAAACTCGGAAGGGAGTTACTATGCTAATCTGCTGGGCGTGAGTCCAATCCAGAACCGATCTGGTGGACACCTCGGGGCTCAGCAATGCTCTGGGTAAGGCCAGCTGTTAACTGCAGTCATGGGCGCTCAGTTATGTAGAAAGAGTGCATCAGGAAAGTGGCCTTCGGAGGAAGAACCCCACGTCCAAGCCCAGAGTCCTAACCTGAAGTCTGAGCCCCTCTACCAGCACCTCTGAGTCCACTGGTCGGCGCCTGGCTGCTTGGTCTGTGGGAACACAGTGGTGGCAGCAAAGTGCCCTTGGCGCTCCCGGCTGCAAGGTCAGCCCTTCAAGCTGCTCCCAGACACGCTGATAGTTTGGGGCAAGGCCTTCGGCTGCAAGCTCATTGCCCAGTCCTGCCTGAGACAGCTGCCAGAGCCTGTGCGCGCTGCCTGGAGCCTTAAAGAAAAGAGAGATGGTGGCATCAAGACGAAGGCGCTGCGTGCCTGCCTGGGGAGGCCTGGGGTGGGCACAGGTGAGGGCAGGCTGCTGAAAGGCCTTCAGCCCCGAGGAGCAGTGTGCTCCCTCCTTCCGAGCACTGAGTGGGCCCTGAGTGCCAGGACCCAGCCACTTCTCCAGCCTTCGCTGTGTGGGGCCTTCCCCACCGGGCACGAGGCCTGGGGCTGTGTACACTGGGTCCCTGGGTGCTAGTTGAGCTGGTCGTACCCCGGTCTCTTTCTGTACAAACAGAAATGCTGGACGAAGAAGATGATGTCGAAGAAAATGGAGAAGAGGCCAAGTCCAAACTTGGTTGGGTCTCCGAAGATCAGCGTCCACTGGTCTGTGAGCAGCCGGGGACGGAAGCTGGGGTTAGGCTGGCAGCTCTGGAAGCAGCTGGAGCAGGTGGTGGGAGGTGGGAGTCCCAGAAAACCACAAATCCACCAGCTACAAAGGCCCCTAGTGGGTCTGTCCGTGGGGGCGGCTGGGCTTGGATCCCAGGCGGGGGTGGAGGCTGGCGGAGGGCCCTGGGGGCACCGTGGCTGACTCACCGTTATTGTAGGACTGCAGAAACATCTGCAGGAGGCTGAAGCTGCCCCCGGTGAAGTCCAGCAGCACGTTGCCAATGCTCCAGCCCTCGGTGCTTTTGTAGTGAAAGTTCATGTAGGCCTGGTCCAGATGGACAGACAGATGGAGGGCGGTGAGGAGGCGACTGCCTCCTGCACCTCGTGACTATCCCTCCAAACAAGAGCGGTTCTCACTCCTCCCACTCGGGCCATGGCTCCAGGGAACACAGTGACCTTTGGGCTATGACAGGCCTCTGCCAAGAATAGTTTGGGTGGTCCTGGGGGCAGGGGCCGCATTTGCATGTACAGCAAGCAAAGCCCCCCCGCCCCGCCCCGCCCCCCACAACTCCAGCGGAGGCAGGCCAGATGCCGCCTTCCCGGCTCCTCCCCATCCCCGGGCACAAGGCTAGTTTCCCAGCAGCTATGATTCTTCTCACCTCCAGTGAAGGCTGTCCCCCCTCAGCTTGGATTTCATGCTATGCTTAGGGACTGAGTGGGGAGCCGAACTGCTGGTTTGGAAACCCAGCTCCATCACTGGAGCTTGCTGCCTTGGGGGAGCTACTACTTCTAGCCTTAGTTTCCCCATCTGTAGAGTGGGTTAACTCCCGCCGCAGGCCCGGGCGGGCCTTCCTGGGTCTGGGAGGTGGGTCTGTGGGGGATGCGCCCCAGTCTGACCGCCTGTGCCCCACATCCTCCCACGCCACAGCACCCTGTGTGTCCTGTGCTGCCACCTTTCCTTCCCCTAGCCACGCAGCAGCGCCCTGTGGGTCCTCTGAATGCTGCGACCTTCCCTCCCGGGTGAGGCAGGTCAGCCTCCACTGCGTCCCCGTCTGTGTACTGGCTCACCCTCTTCTGTACCCGCTGCTGCCCCTCCAGTCCTGGACAATTCCAAATGCCTCCAACTCAGGGACCTGCCTCCCCAGCTTCTTGGCCCGAAGCCTTCCCACCCTCAGGGACTGAGCCCCACTTCCCCAAACCGTCCCCTCCTCGGAAGCCCTCCTCAGCTCCAGGGACCTGGCCCCGGCCTCCCGGCTTCAACACCCTCAGTACTATTCCAGCAGCCCGTCCCCTCCCTTATCCCGCACTGTCTGGCCCCCTCCTCTGTGCAGGCTGCCCAGCCCGGAACGCCGCCGCCTCCTTGTCCACAGAACTCAGTCCTGCTTGCCCTGAGTGCAGCCCTGCCTCCCCCTCTGAGCCCTGTCCCTCCCAAGGCAGAAAACACGAGGCTCCCAGGGCTGGGGACACGGAACGGGGCTCCTCCCTCTGGGAATGGGGTGAGTTAAATGAGGCTCTACATCCCTGGGTGCCGCAACTACAGCCCGACCCGGTCCCAGCTGTGCTGGCCCCGAATCCCCGGGTCTGAGGACGGCTGCGCTCCTAGAAGGGGCGGAGCTCTGCACAGGAGGTTCCCTCCCACCTCACCTCTCCAGTCTCCACTGTGGCCCCCTCGGGCTGCCCTTGCTGTAGAAATGGAGGCAGTGGTGGGGGCAGAGCCAAAAGTATCAGGAAAGAATGCGGTGTGGGAAGGGGAACCACCCTCACGACGTCTGATGCTCAGGGGAGCATGGGGTCCCGGGAGCCTCCCCTAAAGACCTCATGTGACTCCAGCCAGAGGGAGAGCAGCAGGCTGGCTTCCCCATGCCCTGCTCCTGCTGGGTTACCCGACTCCCTGTGGCTTTCCGTCCTGTCTCCTCGCCCTGGCAGGAGCAGGCCGCACAGGAGCAGGCAGCACAGCAGGCGCACAGGAGCAGGCGCGCAGGAGCAGAAGCACAAGAGCAGGCCGCGTAGGAGCAGGCGCGCAGGAGCAGAAGCACAAGAGCAGGCGCGCAGAAGCAGAAGCACAGGAGCAGGCGCGCAGGAGCAGAAGCGCAGGAGCAGGCGCGCAGGAGCAGAAGCGCAGGAGCAGAAGCACAAGAGCAGGCCGCACAGGAGCAGGCGCGCAGGAGCAGGCCGCGCAGGAGCAGAAGCACAAGAGCAGGCGCGCAGGAGCAGAAGCACAGGAGCAGGCGCGCAGGAGCAGGCCCCGCAGGAGCAGGCGGCGCAGGAGCAGGCCGCGCAGGAGCAGGCGGCGCAGGAGCAGGCCGCGCAGGAGCAGGCGCGCAGGAGCAGGGTCCGGACCGTGTACCTCTTGCCCCTCCCACGCCGGCCATGTGAACTGGACCCCGGAAGTACCTGTGGAAAATACTTGACCAGCGTGACCGCGAGCTTGATGTAGGAGAAGCAGAAGAGAAACTGCAGCCACGTGGTCACCCCCACCACAGTCACGATCATGGTGAGGAATGCAAAGAGCCACGCCAGCACCAGGAAGCCGATGGCGGGCCAGGACACTCGCTGACCTCCATGCTAGGGGCAAGAGGAGAGGGCAGAGATGCAGACTCACACAGAGGACGCCTGGGCTGAGCAGGGTTGGCTCTGGATAGGTCGGGCTTAGAGGGGGGCAGAGGCTGGACCCTGGCCTTGAAGCAGCCCCTGTGAGGGGAGCCTGCACTGGGGTCATGGGGGGAACATCTGGGTCACAGAAAGCATCAACACCCAGGCAAGGTCCCATCCCCACACCAATCACCCCTTCTCCTCGCTGGGGTCTCCGCTCAGGCCACTGGGCTCTCACGCTCCCGTCTGCTTTGTTCCCGCCCGACAGAACTGGGCACCCCTCCACTCACTCGGGGGAGGAGGGTGGTGGAGACAAGGGCTCCGACCTCTGAGACCTGGTGCCTCTCCCGGCCAGGCACTGCCTCATTCCCCAAGCCGGAGGCAGCCCAAGGATCTGAGGAATCTGTCCCCCAGCCTTGCCTTTTCCTCAACACGGCCCCACAGCATTCCTTCACTCTCGCTTCACACCAAAAGCTAAGACTGGAAGGTTCACGCAGGTGGGACCAGACAGCACCCGGCTGGCCATCCAGTGTGAACTCCCTGAGAAGTGAAAGCAAAGCTGTCCCAGCATCAGTCTCCCGACCCAGCCCTGGCACAGCCCTGCCCTGCTGACACCCACGGCCTCCAGCAGCCAGGCTAACCTCTGGCTGCACTTGGGGCCCTCCTGACACCCTGAAGCCCAGCTGCACCCACCTGCTCAGGGTTCCTCTCAAATGCCCCCCGCCTCCGTGACTGGACCCCTGTAGGAGCTCACACTGGTCCCGTCCCTCCTCCATGGGAACCTCACTCATCCTTGAGGGCTTGGCAAGTGTCTTCCTCCACTCTCCTCCCTCCTCCCTGGTGGGGCTCAGGGCCTTGTCTCCTCCATGAGCTGTCTGCTCCTCTGCGCGCAGCTCTTGGCCTGAGTCTGATCACTGCTTCTCCCTGAGTCCCTTACCCCAGACTCTTGGACTCTGAGGGGTGTGTACTATGCCCACATGGGCCCTGGCCGAATGAACACACACCCTTCTCTTCCTAGGGTCTGCCATGTCTTGTGTCAAAGGTCAGGTGGGTGGCGGGTGTTGGCTGGGCAGCCTTTGGGGGCCAGGCCTGGACTCACCTCGTACAGGCAGCACTGCATGATGACGATCAGAGTGAGGACAACGGCATGCAGACTGAAGAAGACGTCGTTGCTGTTGACGGGGTTCACTCCATTGGGGTATTTGAGGAGAAACTGCTCCTGTTTAGCGGGTGGGGGAAGCTGGGTGGTGAGGGGCGCTGGGCTGCCATGCCGCAGGGGCAGGGCTGTGGGGCAGGTGAGGCCATACCTTGACGTAGGGCACCCAGAGGAGGCTGATGTTGAACACACTGTAGGCCACGAAGCCCGTCAGGTTCAGGGCCACGAAGTCAAAGCTCAGCCCGACGACGCTGCAGAGGGGTAGAGGGTGGGAAGGGGCATGGCAGGGCAGGGTGAGGATGGCGCCACTGCAGGGAATGGGAGGGACAGGCTTCCGGGCCACGGGGAAGGAGGGCTCGGCCCTTTTCATGCACGGCCCTGTCCTTAGGTTCCTCCTGCTACCACCATGGATGCCACCCAATCCCTGCTCTTGAGCGCCACTTCCCTCCTCCCTCCCTTCCTCCCATGCTAAGATCTCTCTGCTCCTCAAGTCCTGGCTCCAGAGGGAAGTTGGAAGGCCTGCTGAAGAAAGCATCCCCCTCCCGGCTCTCTGCTTCCACCCCTCAGGAGGCCCACGTGGCCCAGGTGATGGCAGGACAGCTTGTGTCCTCACTGCACACGGATGCAAGTCAAGGTGGGACCACTTTGTCTCCAAGGCTGAGTACACGGGACTTGTCACTGCAGTCCTCTGGGGCCGGATGGGCCTGAGCAGAGCAGGGAGGACTTCCCCCTCCCCTGGCCAATGTCCACTAGACTAGGGAGCCCTGTTTTGTTTCACAGGGAGGGGCTGACCTGGGCAACAGATGAAATGCCTGGCGCTGGAGTCCCTCCCAGGCTCTCTGAGCTTTCCCATCAAGAGAGCTTTCCAGAAAGGGCAAGCAGATGGAAGGGCAGAGGGGGATGTCTGAGGCTGCACCATCCCATCCTTGCTGGAACGCCCTGCTCCTAAAGGTGCCAAGACAGCCTGCACACAGGCCCAGCCGGTTACCTTTTCCGCCTCCAATTCATGACCACCTGAGGATAGAAGGAGATGGACCAGGCCACAAAGTAGATCCAGCCAATCACCTGGTTGATGATGCTGACGGCGCTGCTGCGGATCACCAGGAAGCGTATCCGCGGGCTGGAAAGGGGTTTGGACCCGGATGAGCTGGGCTTCCGCAGGAAACCCCCACACACCCAGCACGGCCCGATTCTTGTCATGTGAGACCTGCACACGCTCACGCCAGCCTACCTGGTCTGATTGGAGTGATTTCCATGCAGATAAATTGTAACTTGTCCAACATTTTGGGATGTCACTTGAAAAGAGGAATTTGTCACTCTGGGAGGCACCACAACCTGTTAGGAAGACTGAGCTTCAATCCGATGCCGTGTAGAGTTGCAGAGGGCCCTGCTGGCGTCTAGCTCCATGCTACACACCAGGGAATGAAGGAATGCATCACCCACAGCCCCACCTTCCTGTCCCTCCAACTCCCTGTTCACAGTGTTGCCCAGGTTGGTTTTGAACTCCTGGGCTCAAGTGATCCACCCGCCTCAGCCTTTCTAAGACCTGGGATTACAGGTGTGAGCCACCACACTTGGCCGAGACTTTTTTTTTTTTTGGTGAGATAGGGTTGTCTCCTCCGTCACCCAGGCTGGAGTGCAATGGTGACATCTTGGCTTACTGCAACCTCCACCTCTGGTTCATCTCCTGCCTCAGCCTTCCAAGTCCCGAGTAGCTGGGATTACAGGCGTGTGCCACCACGCCCAGCTAATTTTTGTATTTTTAGTACAGATGGGCTTCCACTGTGTTGGCCAGGCTGGTCTCAAACTCCTGACCTCAGGTGATCTGCCCCCCTCGGCTTCCCAAAGTGCTGCGTGTGCCACATCGCCTGGCCTGGGTGTGACTTTCTGAGCAGAGGTGCGGATTTGTCCTCCTGCCCTCCTCTGGCTTATCTCTGAGGGAAGGAGGAATGGCTCTTGTCCTCTCACTGAGCACGTTACCCCCCACAAGTTATTCAAGCTCTGATCTCAGGTTGCTCATCTGTAAAATGAGTTAACAAAATTGTCTACCTTGGCTGGGTGAGGTGGCTCACGCCGGTAATCCCAGCACTTTGGGAGGCTGAGGCAGGTGGATCACCTAAGGTCAGGAGTTCAGAGACCAGCCTGACCAATATGGTGAAACCCTGTCTCTACTACAAACACAAAATTAGCCAGGCACAGTGGCACATGCCTGTAATCCCTGCCACTCGGGAGGTGGAGGTTGTGGTGAGCCGAGATCGTGCCATTGCACTCCAGCCTGGGTAACAAGAGTGAAACTGTGTTTCAAAAAAACAAAAAAAAGTGTCTACCTTTCAGGGCTTCCATGAATAACATGATGTCCAGAAAGGCGACAGCACAGACCCTGGCACGCAGCAAGCTGGGCCACTGTGCTACGCAATACCATCACTTCTACTTCACTGCCACGAGGCTCCTCAGTGTCCACAAAAGCTCGTCTGCCCTGTGCCCAGCCTGGCTGCCAAGTGAGAAAGCAGAAGCAGGGCACAGACGAGACACTTGGCACAGAGGGCGTTTTCACCCTGCTTCAACATTTAGCAAATGCTCTGCTTCCAGAAAATGCAGCTGGGGGCCTGCCTGCAACATCCGATCTCCCAAGCACTCCTCCGGAGACTTTTTTTTTCTGAGGAGAGTTTCACTTTTGTCACTCAGGCTGGAGTGCAGTGGCACGATCTCAGCTCACCGCAACCTCTGCCTCCTGGGTTCAAGCAGTTTTTCTGCCTCAGCCTCCCGAGTAGCTGGGATTACAGGCATGCGCCACCACGCCTGGATAATTTTTGTATTTTTAAGAGAGACAGGGTTTCACCATGTTGGTCAGGCTGGTCTCAAACTCCTGACCTTAAGTGATCCACCTACCTTGGCCTCCCTTAGTGCTGGGTTACAGGTGTGAGCCACTGCACCCAGCCTTTCCTGAGGCTCTTAAATCCCCCTGGAGTGGTGGAGAAGAGGATGATATTCTTACTGAACCCCACTGTCTTCCCTGGTCCCCAGCTCCTGTGCTCCCTGGATAACACTCCACCCATCTTGCAGGTACTGTGAGGATCTGGCTCATTAGATTGCAGTGGCTACTTTTTTTTTTTTTAAAGACTAGCCAAGTGCAGCAGTGAGAAGCGGGGAAAGAGTAGAACAAGGAGTTTGATATGTAACTGACTGTCAACAATCAGTGGAGGTAACTCACTACCTTCAGACCAGCCAGCTTCAGCTTCTTAAGAGTCAGGGTCTTGCTCTGCAGCTCAGGCTGGAGTGCAGTGGTACAACCATAGCTCACTGATCACTCCAACTCCTGGGCCTGAGCGATCCTCCCACCTCAGCCTCCTGAGGAGGTGGGACAACAGGCGCTCTGCCGCACACCGGAGCAGCTTCCTAATGAGGACCTCTGAAGGACTGCCTCCTTGTTCTTAGCATTAGAAATCAGGGGCTTCAGCAGAACAAGTGAAATGGCATGGCGGCTGCTGCAAAGCCTGGAGTCCAACGTATGGTCTGTGTCCTGCAAGCTACGTCTTTACAATACGTGCCACTCCTGGCTCTGTAATTTTCCTGTCACTCACTTTTTCTTATTTTTAACAGATAATCCTTGTAGTGTTGCTTGCACATCTGTTAAGTGGCCACTGAATCCCTTCTGGAACTAGGCAGGGAGAAAATCAATAGACTGACTGATATAACACAGAATGAAATGATCATCGCTGCCTTTCACTGAGTGCTTCCTATGTGCTACGGATGACCCTAGACATTGTCTTTTTAAGATGGAGTTTCACTCATCACCCAGGCTGCTGTGCAATGACACGATCTTGGCTCACTGCAACCTCTGCCTCCCAGGCGCCAGTGGGTCTCCTGCCTCAGCCTCCGGAGTAGCTGGGATTACAGGCATGCACCACTACCACCTGGCTAATTTTTGTATTTTTAGCAGAGATGAGGTTTTACCATGTTGGGCAGGCTGGTCTTGAATTCCTGACCTCAAATGATCCACCTGTCTTAGCCTCCCAAAGTGCTGGGGTTACATGTGAGCCACCGTGCCAGGCCTCTTACTGTTAAAGATTTTTAAAAAAAACTGAACTATGACATATAGGTAGAAAAGTACACACATCACAGCTTGATGAAAAGTCTACAGCCTGAATGCATCCAGCTCCCAGATGAAGAAATGAAACATTCCCAAGTCCTCAGAAGCCCCCCTCGCTCCCTCCAGCCTCTCCTGGCCCCGAGGGTCACTGCTGCCCTGACTGACACTGTGGATTTGCTGGATCTACTTGTGCTTCATGTTTAAGAACTCCTACGGTCCAGGCTTTCTTGGTGTCAGATTTCCTTTCCTTAATATTATGTTTGCCTTACCTGATCTTCAGAAGACGATACTTTCGCCAGGTGTGGTGGCTCACATGGATCACACCTGTGATCCCAGCACTTTGGGAGGCCAAGGCAGGCAGATCACCTGAGGTCAGGAGATTGAGACCAGCCTGGCCAACATGGGAAAACCTTGTCTCTACTGAAAATACAAAAATGAGCCAGGCCTAATGGAGGGCGCCTAAAATTTCAGCTACTGGGGAGTCTGAGGCAGGAGAACAGCTTGAATCCAGGAGGCGAAGGTTGCAGTGAGCCGAGATCATGCCACTGTACTAAAAAAAAAAACCTCCAAAAAACAAAAAAACACGAATACATAAAAACAAAAACATGACTTTGACTTAGATATCTGGCCCTAAATGAAGCAATCAGCATGTTTCTCCCAGAGTCTGAATTTAATCTGAATTTTATCAAAGGGCTGCGCTGTTAGAACCCACCGGCACTGCATGTTAGCCTCACACCCTGGGCAAGAGGGGAGCTGTAGGGAACGGTGCTGTCTAATGAGGTGTTCATGGTGGGAGGAGACCTCCCTCTCATGCAAGGTCCCTTTGGCTGGATGCTCTGAGACCCTGCTCTCAGCAATGCTGTATAAAAATACAGCTTTTTATTTTTATTTTTCATATTTTAGAGACAGATTCTTGCTCCATCATCCAGGCTGGAGGGCTCTCTGCAGCCTTGAACTCCTGGGCTCAAGCGATTCTCCTGCCTCAGCCTCCCAAGTAGCTGAGGACTTCAGATGCACATCACTGAGGTAAGCGATGCTATATTTTTCAGATCACAGATTCCCACATGCTTGAGGCAGATTGTGTTTCATTCCTGTATGCTTGCTGGGGGGCTCAGAGCTGATCTGCAGCCCATCTCTACAAGCACCCCGAGCCTCACCACGTGGTCATAACGTGCCTCATGGATATCGATCTCATCCCTGCATCCTCATCCTGCCTCCACCAGCTCTATTAAGGTATAACTGACAAATAAAAAGTGGGTATATTTGCAGTACACAAGGTGATGCTTTGGTAGATGCATACATTGTGAAATGACTAAATCAAGCGAATTAACATATGCATCATCTCATATACTTACCTTTGTGTGTGTGTGTGGTGAGAACAGGAGTAGCTAGGACCACAAGTGCAAGCCACTGCACCCAGCTGTGGTGGGAACATTTAAGATCTCATCTCTTGGCAATTTTCAGTATGCAATGATGCATGACCATTAACTGTATTGCCACATTGTACGATAGCTCTCCAGATGTTATACATCCTGACTGACTTGCATTCATCTTGGTTTTTAAACCCTTGGTTACCACCTCCCTTATGGATGCTTTCTATCCAATTGAATAACAACTGGCTCAAACTCTCAGTAAGGTGGAAGCAGGGTACACACAAACAGATACATGCGTAAAACTACCGCTATTAGACCACACGACCTCTGGCACGGGGTTTTGGAATCAACACCCAACCAGTGGTGTCTCAGAATGGGGCTTCACAAACCTTGATGTGGACTCAAACCATCTGGGGATCTTGCTAGGCTACGGACTTTAGGTCAGTAGGTTTGAGACGGGCCTGAGGTGCTGATTTTTAAGTAAGCCCAATGCTGCTGGTTCTCGAATGCCCTTTGAGTAGCCAGGCCTTAGAAAATCATAAGGACTTTTCTATTCTTTTTTTTTTTTTTTTTTTTGAGATGGAGTTTGACTCTGTCGCCCAGGCTAGAAGGCAGTGGGGCTATCTGGGCTCACTGCAATCTCAGCCTCCTGGGTTCAACTATTCCTCCTGTCTCAGCCTCCCGAGTAGCTGGGATAACAGGTGTGTACCACCATGCCCAGCTAATTTTTGTATTTAATTTAGTAGGGATGGAGTTTCATCATGTTGACCAGGCTTGTCTTGAACTTCTGACCTCAGGTGATCTGCCTGCCTCGACCTCCCAAAGTATTGGGATTGCAGGCATGAGTCACCGTACCCAGCCAAAAATCATGAAGAACTTTTACATTTCCAGAACCGTTTCTGCCTCAGGTTTCTCACTATCATCTTCTTAATTCCATCTGATGGCATTCAATCCTCATCCCCAAGAAGACCAACGAAGCCGAAACTATAGATTTCCAGGATGATGGAACAGGGACCGCCTAGATCTATTGCCACCAGCTCTTAACTAAAATGTGTGTTTTGTTACCTAGCATTTCCCTACCCATCAGTTAACATTGGTTACTTACTTCATCGGGGAGCTCAAGGATAGTAATATTTTTGGAACGAAATGTGATTTCAAAAGTGATCACCAGGGTTGCATTTAATGGTGGCCTGTGGAGGACAAGAGTCTAATTACTGCTGAGAAGCGGAGGCAGGGAGAGCTCAGCTAACCCTCTGGATTTCACAGCTGGCCTTCCAATCTCATGCAATCGGGTTTAGGAAATGCTAGTGCTCCACCCAAGGGGTAGCTAGGTGGAAATCCTGCTCTGTAGGCTTTCCAGTGTAAACCAGGAGACCAGATGTCCGTCCCTTCAGGGCAGGGTGAGAAGAGAAGAAAGCAAACGGGATGTAATGACAAATGAGGCCTCTGGGGGCCCGGGACTGTGGCTTCCTGGAGGTTGTGGGTTCTGAGCAGGGCCCTGTGTGAGGGCCAGCGTTAGACTGGAGGAGGAGCGAGCTCAGGCAAGGCAGGGGGAGGGGGCAGTGCATGCCTGGAAAGCTGGGACAGGCATCTGACTGCAGAAGGCTGGGAGCCCCTCCTGGGCCCCAGCTCTGGGGTGAGGAGCTTGGAGTTAATTTGGAAGGCAGTGAGAGGCCTCTCGGGGACCTGGAGAGTTGTGGTAAGAGGGTGACTTGTGACATTTGCAAGGGAGGAGGTGCAGAGACAGGAGGAGGTAGGGGTAGGAAGGGCAGGCCAGCTAGGGTTTTGGTTTCAGGTCAGACCTGGCAGGAGAGGCGAGGAAGGGGGAGAGGTGTAGAGAGAGGACAGGACTCTAGGTCTTCATCAGGAAATCCTCATGGCCGGGAGGCAAGGACAGGGCAAAGCAGCTAAGAGTAGAGAAGGCAGAGGCAGCCTCCTGGTGCCGACCAGCCTAGGTCATGATGCTTGTGCCCCAGCCAGCAGAAAGCAGCAAAGAGACTCCCACGCCAGGCCCAGTGTGAGTGGCGTCACCCGACGCGGCCACTTCTGCTTCGCAGAGCAACCTCAGAAGTACCGTCCAGCAGCTCAGCCCCCTACCCCTTGGCCTTCAGGAATCTCTTCAAATATTTAGTCTTAGAATCGCTTTGAAGTCTGGCAACAACTGCTGGTCACGCAGAACTCTTCCCATGCAGGGAAAGGACCCACGTCTCTGGGAGAAGCACCCCTTCCTTCTCCTCCCAGGGCAAGTCAGGATTCAGGGTGGGGTCAGCCTTTGTGATCCCACCCTGCGGCCCAGGGCTGCCACTATCCCTTTCTCTATGGTTTGTCTTACAGGTAAGAGGCAAGAACAGTGCATCTGAAATCTATCCAGACTGAGCCGGGGTCAACCCTGTCCCAGCTGCGGGGTCTGAGCAGGGCTGAGCGCAGCGCCAGGCCTGGGAACTTACTGCAGGGTGATGCTGACGTTGGTTGAGCTCCCATTTTCCAGCTTTACAACGGGAGGAACAGTGAGGCTGACAGTTGACTCTGGAAGGACCAAAATCAATAACATGAGGCGCCAGGTCAGAGCTCGGTCCACGACAGGACACTGGGCCGAAACCCCCGACATGTGAACTCCTGAGCACTGACTCCCTGACGAGCCCTATTCTGCGATGGGCTGGCAAACACGGGCCCTGGTGAGGTTCTTTCCCCACCTGCTGCCAGAGGCAGAGGCAGAGGCACTCCAGCCTGGGCAACAGTGAGACTCTGTCCCAAAAAAAAAAATGATTTTTGTAGAGATGGGGTCTCAGTATGTCGCTCAGGCTGGTGTCAAACTCCTGTGCCCAAGCGATCATCCCTCTCTGGCCTCCCAAAGTATTGGGATTACAGTGTGAGCAAATGCCAGGGCCTCCTCCCCTCCCTGCAAGGACAGGCTCTGAGAGTCTTCGGCTGAGTTACTCAGAGATTGTTAGAGAACATGGAGCCCAAAAATCACCACAAAGGAATCCACGCATGATCTGGAATGCAAAAGGCAGCCCTGAACCACCTCTTCAGATGGAAAGCGCAGCACCTCCTCTGTTCATGGCGTCAAAATGGCCCTGAAGAACGGGACCAGCCCCTTTCCTGCACGAACAGACACACAGGGGCCCAGCTAATGAGTTTCTAAAGAACCCTCTGGGCTCCCTGACTCGCCCAGCTCCCTGGCTCTGGTCCCTTCCTAAGGCTATCTGTGCAGGGGCTGGAAAAGGAAGGGTGAATAGCTGTTTCAGTCTCAGATTTCTCCTCGGCTTTAAGGTGTTATCTCAGAATAAAGATGACAAACCGGCCCCTGGATGAGGGGGAAGCAGGTCTGGGTCTTAGAAATCCATCCTAGGGCCAGGCACGGTGGTTCACGCTTGTAAAACCAGCACTTTGGAAGAGCAAGGTGAGAGATCACGGGAGCCCAGGAGTTGGGAGACCCTGTCCCTACAAAACATTTTCTTAAAAAAAGAAAGAAAATCATTTTTCGAGGCCAACTAGCCCAGAGCACCTTGGTGGCAGGAGTGAGTCAGCCTCCTCGTGCTTCCAGTATTCTTAGGGCAGCCTGGTCCCCACCCCTGCTCCCAGGCGTGCTGGAGGCCCTACACTACACCTGCCCGTCTCACCTCCCCCACCTGACTGCCTTCAGAGTTACACACAGCCTAGAGGTCATGATCATGGTCTAGGCTGAGCAGGGAAGCAGGTGCATGACTGTGATGAAGAGGATACTTGTCATGGCAGAAGCTGTCAGCAGGCGCAGCTGTCGCCCAACCAGACCCCTGCACTCAGACCCCTCAAAGGCAGATGAGTTGGGATCTGAAATTTTACATGCTTGGGTTGGAAGGAAACTTTTTTTTCCAAGATAGTCTTGCTCTGTCACCCAGGTTGGAGTGCAGTGGCATGATCTTTGCTCACTGCAACCTCTGCCTCCTGGGTTCAAGCAATTCTCCTGTCTCAGCCTCCCCAGTAGCTGCGATTATAGGCATGGGGCACCATACCAGCTAATTTTTGTATTTTCAGTAGAGACAGGGTTTCATCATGTTGGCCAGGCTGGTCTCAAACTCCTGACCTCAGGTGATCTGCCCACCTCTGCCTCCCAAAGTGCTGGGATTCCAGGCATGAGCCACTGTGCCCAGCCCAGAAGGAAACTTAGTTACCCAGTTCAAACTCTGATTCTCCACCTCAATATTCCTACTTGGTAGTTTCTCTTCTGCAACCCGATCTCTGAGATCACAGGCTGAAACTTGCCCTCCAGGCCAGGCTCTGCTACAGGGAGCCTCTCAGACTCTGAGAGCTGCCTTCTCCATACTCAACACACGGGAATGCAGATGCAAGCTGTGTCCCAAGCCTGTAGGTCCCTGGGTGGAGACTTCCACAGGCCACCATCTCCAGCCCTCTCTTGGCTGGCTGGGCTCCTCAGAACAGGATGGCCTCCGGCCCTTGCAGAAGCCAAGCTGCTACAGGAACAAAAGGCAGGCCCTTCCTTATGTGGAGCCTCAGGGCCTGTAGCTGCTCTGGCTACCCTACCCTTCTTTTTCAGGCTCTCTGCTCTGAGGTCATTCCGAGGCTTTCATCAGGGCTTGCATAGCTGGGATGGTGCAGGACTTCCTGTACTGCCAGCTCAGTTCTGCCTAGAGCTGAGGACCGTGCCAGATAAGCAAGCCTAGAACCTGCCACTGCTCAGGACGGGATGCTGAAAGGGATGCCAGGCAGCCAGCCAGGCCTCTGGGTCCCAAGGGCTGTGCTGGAGGTAGTGGAGGTCTAGGTGAGCGGAAGATCCACATGGGCACAGAGCTCCTACCATCTTTGCATTATAAAATAGGAGGTTGTGGGCAGTGACTCACGCCTGTCATCCCAGCACTTTGGGAGGCTGAGGCAGGTGGATCACCTGAGGTCAGGAGTTCGAGACCAGACTGGCCAACATGGCAAAACCCCCTCTACTAAAAATACAAAAAATTAGCCAAGCTTGGTGGCGGGCGCCTGCAATCCCAGCTACCCCGGAGGCTGAGGCAGGAGAATCGCTTAAACCCAGGAGGTGGAGGCTGCAGCGAGCTGAGATCATACCACTGCACTCCAGCCTGGGAGAAAGAGCAAGACCATCTCAACAACAAAATAAAATACAGTAAGAGTTTGTGAACTCTCCAAGAACCAGATCAGAGAATGTTCATTTCCCCCTTCTTTAGCACCACAGAAGACTGAGGTGCTCAGTAACTGAGATACTGGGCTCCAAAGTCACACAGTTCCATCCTGGCTCTGACACTTCCTAGCTGTGTGACCATGGGTAAGGTACTTACCCTCTCTGAGCCTCCATTTCCTTATCTGTAAAATGGGGAGAATAACAAGCCCTATCTCAGAGTCACTGTGAAGATAAGATGCAGCCATGCTGGTAACCTGTTCTCCGCAGCCCAGATGCTAAATAATTGTTGCCGTTATTATCATCACAACTGCAGGGCATTCTTACAAGGTGGGAGGCAGTTAGGAAGCTGGCCCCAGAAACTTGAAATCTTTACATTGTATCAGAATTACAAAATGAGTCTTGACATCATGCTAAGTTCCCCCTAAAGAGAATCTGGTTTTTTTGTTTGTTTGGTTTTTTTTTTTGAGACAGGGTCTGGCTCTGTTACCCAGGCTGGAATCCAGTGGTGACCTGGAGTGGTCATGGCTCACTGCAGCCTCGACCTCCCAGGCTCAAGTGATCCTCCCACCTCAGCCACCCAAGTAGCTAGGACCACAGGCATGCGCCACCATGCCCAGCTAATTAAAAAAAAAAATTTGGGGCCAGGCGTGGTGGCTCATGCCTATAATCCCAGCACTTTGGGAGGCCAAGGCAGGAATACCACTTGAGGTCAGGAGTTTGAGAGCAACCTAGGCAACATGATAAAATTCTGTCTCTACTAAAAATACAAAATTAGCCAGGTGTGGTGGCACGCACCTGTAACACCAGCTACGTGGGAGGCTGAGGCACAAGAATCACTTGAACCCAGGAGGCCGTGGTTGCAGTGAACTGAGATCACGATACTGCACTTCAGCCTGGGCGACAGTGCCAGACTCCATCTCCAAAAAAAAAAAAAATTTTTTTTTTTTTTAAGTAGAGATGGGGTCTCACTCAGGCTGGTGTCACACTCCTGTGCCCAAGTGATCCTCCCTCTTTGGCCTCCCAAAGTATGGGAATTACAGGTGTGAGCCACCGTGCTCGGCTAGGTTTTTAAAATTAATTCTTATAGGCCTCTCGCCCACTCTGCACCTCCAGTACCAGCCCCTGTGCTACACTCCTAGCTCCCATTTTCTAACTGTACAACAGTGAGAAGCAGGCATTATTATTTCTATTTTAGATTTCGGGCAACTGTGTATTCTAAGAGGAAAGGAGTCTTACCACACAGCTTGAAAATGGTGAGGGCAGGACTCAAACCTAGGCCTGTCTAGTCCAAAGCCCAGCTTTTGCCACGAGGCTGCACTGCCCCAAGATTCCAGCCAGAGAAGTCAGAGACAGACAATTCTGAAGGCCAGTCATCTCACCTGTGGTCCTTAACCATTACTCCCCAAAGCAAAGAGAAGAAAGAAACAGCAAAGGCCGAAGAAGGTTGGAAATCCAGTTCCTGTGACTTGATTTGATGGTGGCTTCGATTCTTACTTTGTTTCTTTTTTGAGATGGAGTCTCACTCTGTTGCCCAGGCTGGAGTGCAGTGGTGCGATCTCGGCTTACTGCAACCTCCACCTCCTGGGTTCAAGCGATTCTCCTGCCTCAGCCACCAGGCACGCACCACCATGTCCAGCTAATTTTGTATTGGTAGTAGAGATGGGGTTTCGCTATGTTGGCCAGGCTGGTCTCAAACTCCTGACCTCAAGAGATCCACCGACCTCGGCCTCCCTAAGTGCTGGGATTATAAGCATGAGCCACTGTGCCCTGCGCATTCTTCTTTTCTAATGGCATTCAGGAAAGGAGGCAAAGTGATCTCATGCAGCACAGATCCTATGCGGGTCCCAGCTTTGTTACTTTCTAGCTATGTGACTTGGGAAAGCCTTCTACCCTCTCTGGGCCTGTTTCCCCTCGGGGTAACTGGGGTGGTGGTAGCTGGATTTTCTGTTTTTCTCTTAGGGGAGGGTATTAGCATTACTAATGGGGCTTTAAAGTATGTGTGTGTACATCCGGGGGACACAGACACACTCCAGCCCCAGTGTCACAAAGTCTGATCCAGCAGGGTGGGGACGGGGTTCTGACACTGACATCTGCATTGAGAAACACCGGGCTCCAGGGGCTGAAGGACCTTCCTTTCCCAGAAATTGCTTATCTGCAAGGTGTGACGACAAACATCACTGACTGTTCAACAAACCTGGAAGAGATGATGAGGTGGCCACTGTTTCTTGAGGTTCAAGACCTCAGATAACAGCGGGGTCTAGGCTCCAGGGAGGATTTGCACTATCTGTCAAGGTTCACTTGACATGTGAATTTAACATGTATCTAATTTTTTGTATTTGACCCAACAGACAAGCTAAGGATCAAATTAATGGGCCCAGTGCCCTTGAAGTGCTAAACATGGCTCTTTCCGGAAGGAATTCCAGAGATGTTTCGGGCAGTGGGAGAATTGCTAGAAGGGCACCGGCCTCAAACAGGCCAGCGCTGAAGGTCAGTCCTCCTACGAGGACGTGTAAACTCCATCCCAAGTGTGCTCCATGTGACCACTAGCCCTGCTGGGCTGCTGCACCCTGTTCCTCAGCCCCCTCTAAGGGAAAGGATTTCTCATCTTACAGGGGGATGCCGGGCAGACTCCCCAGGTGATCTGTGCCACCTCTTCCGCTTCCGTGGTGTTTCCCAGGACCCAGGACTCTCTCTTCGAGGTCCACAGGGCAGGGGCGCAGCCATTCTTTTTTTTTTTTTTTTTTTTAAAGTCAGGGTCTCACTGTGTTACCCAGGCAGGAGTACAGTGATGTGATTATAACTCACCGTAGCCATGAACTCCAGAGCTCAGGTGATCTTCCTGCCTCAGCCTCCCAAGTAGCTAGGACTATAGGCACAAGCCACCACACACAGCTAATTTTTTTTACAATTTTTTTTGTAGACATGGGGTTTCACTATGTTGCCCAGGTTGGTCTCAAACTCCTGGCCCCAACAGATCTTCCTGCCTCGGCCTCCCAAAGCTATGGGATTACAGGTGTAATCGCTCCAGCCTCAGCCATTCTTTAAGACATTACCTCAGGTTGTCCGGCTCTGCAGTCTGACTCTGAGAACCACTTGTTCACTTTGATACAGTAAAGGCACAGATCCAGGGCAGAAGGCCACTTACTTGTGGAACTATCTGCTTCTTTGTGAAACACCTGGATTTCAGA